GATTGACAGTGTCACAAAACTGATTTTACAGAGAGAATTGAAGAGTTGGTCACTTGTTTCTTGTCATAGAGCTAGAAAATGAGTAGAGATTTATTTATGAGTTTGTCTACACTAGTCTTGCAACCCCAAAACTAGGGGTGCCATTACCCTATGAGAACTAAAGTACACTCCATAGTACTTCCTGTTCAAAGTGCTCTCTATATGAGCTTCCTTTTAGCTGTTGGTGGTTGATAATTCTGTAGTCCCAGATTCTAGGGATATCAGCTCCTTGCTTCACAAACCAGCCAAGGCAGCAACAATGGTGTGATGAGCGTACCTATAAACATTGGCAATATTAACCTGACTAGACAACCAGACTGGAGACAAGTCCACCCAACCCAGCCATGGTTCATTATGAGCAGCTACCCACTCCCTCCTTCTGAGGCCCCTGCTGCTGCAACATGGAGAAGACTCAGCCAGAGCCACCAGCATGAACCAACCTGTAACAGAACATGCACACTCTGTCTCTTCAGCACTTAGCCCAGTATCTGCACACAAGCCGAAGTCAGATGAGATCTAATGTTGGAGAGACACAAACAGATCAGAAGACCTTGGTACAGGGCCCAGCTGAGTCTCCTGATACTGCCTCTTAAGAGGCTTCATTGTCTCTGGCTGGGAAGTAACACAGTTCAACCACACACTCTGGATGCCTGTGTACTGACAGAATGCTCTAAACTCATTTCTATGTATTGCTTGGCTCCCTTCCTTCCTCTCTCTGTCCCTTCCTTTCCTTTCCTTCTCTTTTTACTAAACAAGTATTTGCTGGCATACCTCTGACCCTGCAACAGCACACCAAAGTGAGCTATAGAGTTGTGATATCTATTTCTGGTTATCAGCTTGACTACATCTGGAATCAACTAAATTCCAAAAACGGAGGGCACACTTGTGAGGGATTTTTGCTTAATTTGAAGTAGGAAGATGTACTCCTAATCCAGCTCTTTGAAATATGAAGACATGCCTTAATCCAGGTCTTCTGAGCTGGGAGAAGACACGCCTTAATCCGGATCGTGAAGTGGGAAGACACACTATTGGGATTTAATAAGGATCAGGATAAACAAATAGGCCGAATAGGTGTTTATTCAGGGAGAAATAACTTACAACCTAGACAGATGAACACCAGCAAGTTCCACTGAATGCTCTCCTCTCCGAATCCTGCCAGCAAGAGAGCGTTCCTGGGCTCCTCCTCAGACCTAGTCCTGCCTATCTTGCTTTCCTATTGGCCAACAGTGCTTTATTCATTAACCAATAAGAGAAACATATTTACAGAATGACATCTCCCATCAACACACCTTTATAATTTGGGCCACTTTCTGCAAGAAGCCCATATAAGGACAGGAATGGTGAATGGCAGATCATAAAGCCAGCACAGCTGCTTGAAAAATTCAGCAAAGTTGAGCCACATGACGGCCACCATGCCACTTTTGTTTTTTATTTCCACATGTTGCATGCTTGAGGGTTTTTTTTTTTATATTTGTACATTTTGGGGATACTGGGCTGATGGGAAATCTCTTATGAATCAACTACAAATACTTCTCCCAGCATTGCCTCTCAGCTTCCTCGGGAAGGTCCTGAACACACTCCCCCTCCCGCTTGCAAAGAGATAATTATTAACTACTTGAAAGTCTTCCTTACACCTTGCAAGTTGTGACTCACAATAAGAAGCCAGAGATCTCTTTATGAGGCTCTGAGATATTCTTGAAACAGCTACCCCTGTACTTGATCAGGAACAAGATAATCAACATAAAGTTAATTTTAAAAGGTCAACAAGATTTGGTGGGCTAGAGGAGTTGACTGTGGATCAGATTGCAAGCCTCTTCCCACTGTACACTCAGGTTGTTACATAGCATATATAGCACAAAAGTTAGATTAGCTGAAGTTACCTCTGTCCTACACAGGGACTTATATTAATGGGCAAAGAATGGTATGGAAAGATGATTAAAGAATGAGGTGTCAGGACCTCCCTTTCTTAGGAAAATTAACTCATACAGAGCCACTGTGATGTCATATGACTAAGGACAACAGAATATCAGGATTAGACATATAAACAAATGATAAGATATAAAGTGTAAGACATTATATCATGCCAGAATTTGAGTAATAGCTGCAGCAACTTTGCCTAAAGATTGTTCTGACCATCAAGAGTTAACAAGACACTGCTCTGGACATGGCAATCTTCCCTGGGCTGGCTTGGAGGTTTTCTTTCTGTCTAGTGCCCTTGAAGACACAAAAGCTACTAGTATGAGAATAGGCTGTCATGTCTCTAGATTCTTAAAAATTAGGTTTTAGGGTTGGTGAGTAAAATGATTATAAAAGGTAATTCTGTTTATCAATGCTGACTAAATTTAAGAAAAAAAGGAATGTAAAAGATAACTTTTCCGTCACAGTTCATCAATGATGATTAAATTTATGACTCCAGATGTGCAAGAGAAGTTAAACACATACCCAGAAACAAAAATGATATGATCTACATTTTGGAACATTAATCTATCTCTGATACTGAATTCTGTATAAATAAAATTCTGCTAGTCAGTCAGATTGCAAGATTCTTGCCACCACTTTGGCCTGGCTCGCTTCTTCCCTCGCCTACTCCTTACCTCCTGTCCAGAGCCCGCTCCCAGCACACATGAAAGTAGGAAGCTTTTGCTACTTTGCCCACTCACTCCTGCCATTTCTTCACTGGCATTGGGGCCTACTTCTTTGGGATTCCAGTGAACACAGAAGACCAGCTGGGACATCCACCCTCACAGACTGAGCATCTACTCCATTCTTGAACTTTCCATTCCTAGGCAGCATTGTTGGATTGGCTGGACCACAGCCTATAAGTCATCCTAATAAACCTTTCTATAAAGAATAGCTCATTCTATAGTTCTATTACTCTTAGTAAGTTCTAGAACCCTTACTAACACCCCTACTAAGCACATCCTGATTTACTGAGGACAATGCTCAGAATGTTCAGTTTCTGGGACTTCTCCTCTAACACACAGATGAGCTATGCAGCCTGAATTATTCAGTTCCACATGAGAGGTAAAAAGAGGTTCCAGTTGCTTGAAAAACTTAAGCCCTTGGGGTTTAAAATCTTGGTTGAAATTCCTGAAGTCACTGTAAGTTACTCAGATAAGACTGCTCATTCTAGCTCATAAATGTGCCTTCAAGTTATACAAGCTAGGCAAGGTGGTGAGTCCTTAATCCCAGCACTTGGGAGCAGAAGCAGGCAGATGTGGCTCCAGATGAGCCAGAGATATAGAATAAGACTGTCTCAAAAAATAAAATTAAGTCTATCTAGGTCAATGTGTAGAAAATAAGTGAGAGTGGAATGTTCAGATACAAATGTGACACCTATACCACACCCCATCCCCACGAGTAGGCAGACTGTGTGAGCAGAGTTTGTAGAACCATTGAGAAAGTGTTTTCCAGACATGGCAGACACATTGCCACTCATAAGCTCATGGCAGCTGTGGTGGCCTGCACACAACCTGAAAAAAAAGTCAAGCCAGTCAACTTTCTGACACGGATGGGAAGGGGCTCATGATGGCTGCTGTGGAAAGAATGAGTCTGTCTTCAAGGTGAGGTCCATGCTGCAGTGGATGGCCCCACACATAGCACATGTGGGGCCCCAGTGGGTTATTGAAGATAATCTTTTTTATATGAAGTTGTGAGGGGATGTTGTGGTGGTGGTCTAAGAAAATTAGAAATGGGACTGGGATCCAAATGTGTTGTTCACATGCACACAATTCCCAAACAGTACCAATGCATGCACAGCCACTTGACTTCCACTTCAGTACACAACAGCAGCAATGTGCACAGAAAACACAGGTGTGGGGCTCACTACGGCTTCCTTCTGTACAGGTCTTCACACAAGGTTAGACCACTCAGAAACACAGTGTGTGGCAAGTGCAGCACTGACTTGTCAATCAAACACCCACCACTCTTCTTCACCTTTAGCTCAACAAGTGGCTGTCCCCTTAACTCTCCGGGAAAGTAACAGATACAAAACACTTAGGGACATGGGAGTTCTCCAGACAATACAATAACCAGCAAGCGTTCTTTCTGAACAGAAATGAGCAGACTGCTATGTGAGAAGCGGACCACAGCTGGAGTCAGCAGGGTGTGGATTGTCCAAGTTCCCCTCACAGATTCAACAAGGGCCTTCAAGACATTACCTAAGAGGCTGGTCTTTCTCAGAATATTGCTTCTCAAATGCTTCATTTTTAAGCCTTTTATGAAAATGAACAACATTAAAGTAAAATATCTTAATTCTTAAAAGTTTTTTAAATATCACACCTATAAATTGGGATAATCATATTTTATTGTAAAGGAGTTCAAAGATGAAGGACAGGGCTCTTAAGTTACCAGAGCCAATAAAAACCACGAAGTTTACAAACATTTTTAAAAAGCCTGGATACCAAAATAGCTTTTAATTGTTGAAAAGTGCAAAGAAGGCTTAAGAGTACAGAATAGCTGTTGAACTTTTTACAAAGTGCACTAACGAATACATTAAAACAAAGAGATAACAAGGGGGAAATGTATTATGTCTGATTCTAAATCCTGTTATAAGTAAACATTTTCACAGGACTCAACAAAAACCCCATCACCAAGAGCCTCCTCTCCCTCTGGAGTAGGCAACTGAAGAATGCACCCTGCATGAATGCAGCCTCAAGCAGGGTGTGCACAACACATCTCAAAGAGACTCAAGCATCTGCAGACATGCAACTGCATGGCCTTGAAACAAGTTGAGCAGGGGTCTTGCTGGGAATCATTTGAAGCCAAAGGGCACTTTGCTGTGGTTCATACATGTAGCTACAAGTTTCTCCTCTGTGCCAAACATCTACAAGATGAAAGGGCAGAAGATGCTGTCTGACCATCTCACTCGGGGCTTATGTAGTCTCAGTTCTGTAAAAGCCATAGTCTTTATTCCAGTAAAAAGAAAGCCCATGGTGAAAAGAATGTAGTAAACCTCAGGGTACCAAATTGATGTTTTATTCTCTCCTGTTCAAAAACCCACTGACTACAAATTACATCCATGGCAAACTTGTTAGTGTTTTCTGATATTTCTAAGAAAGTCCAGCATTTTTGCCAGAATGTCCCACTGACTTTCCTGAAATATGTCTTTTCAAATAATTTATTACTTCTAAGACTAGGAAGAGCAGTGTAGGACCTGAGTGTCTCGGCCACATAGACAAGCAGACACCCCGGGCACCCCTGTAAGCCTGCGCCCTGTGAGCCAGCGCCCGTCTGGGTTTCACACACTCAGTAACGTCATGTTCTGGTTGCAGGGCTTCCCTGAGGAAAGTTGGGTTTCTCAGCCTTCATGATCTCAGGCAAACTGTTCTTGGTTCTTCAGTGCTCTTTCAGAAGACTCTGGGCTGGCAGCTCACCCCTGGGTGACTCTGTCTTGCTCTCGATAAGAGAGATCTGCAGCACAGGCAGGAGAAGCTGGAAGGCATCTTGAATGTAGGAGGCACTGTTTGAGGCCTGGCAGGATTGAAAAGTCATCAGAAAGAAAACAAGGCTACAATCACCTGAAAGAGAAAACACTGAAGGACAACAAGATGACAGGCCTGTGTCTGCAACCCAGTGTGTGATGTAAAGAAAAGACAGGCCTGACTACTGCACTCGCTTGATATGGACAAGACAGATCTGGGAAGTAATACGGCAACACCAAAAAGAATGGCATCACCCCAACTCGCCCAATAGACAAGGCAGCTTTGATGGCTGCTCAAACTTGACATTCAAGGATTGTCTAGACTTGACTGCATGGGTACATCTGTTCCCACACTGAGTCAAGAACTGACATGCTCTCAGGAGGCACTGAACCACCACATCTCTCCCATGACTCAGTGCCATGACAAAGCATTGCACTCAGGTAAGGACAGTTATGGACAGGTCTGCCTGGTCAGTAGACATGAGAGGAGAAGCCTTGGGGAATCATCACACTTAGTGTGTAGATCTGATCTCTATCTGACCAGCCCTACCACGTCATCCAAAATAACAACAGGTAGTTCATTACACAAACAGAAATGGACATTGTCAAGGACAAGAATGTTTCAAATTTGTGTGTATGAATAGCCTGTTCAAAATGGCAACAGGGAACTCACACCAAGACAGCCTAGCCTGCCTTTTGTGACTTATCAATGGCTGGCACTCCTATCAGAACTTCAGTGGGACACTTGATAACACACTTTCCAGACAAAAGAGACCTTAGAAATCACCTAGTTATAGCTCCTTGCACTTAAAACAAGATTGCCAGGAAGGGCATCTCCAACCGAGGACTACAGAACACTTGGGGAGGCCCAGGAAGGCCTCCTAGCAGCAAAATGCTTTCAACTCTGCCAACTACTAAACCACAGACTAGTGTTTAAAAATAACTGATCACAAGAGCTATAAGCTACTCAAAGCTGTGTGGTTGGAGGTTAAAAGCATTTCCTTAGCAGTAACTTAAAATAAGTTTGAACTAAACAGTTGAGTTGGTTCTTAGTTTACTTACTCGTGTGTGCACATGTGGGAGTATGCATGCTATAATACATCTGTGGAGGTCAGAGAACAACTTTCATGAGTTCATTCTCTCCTTCTACCTGGAGCTCACACACATGCTGTCAAACTTAGTAACAAGCACCCTTACCTACTGAGCCATCTCACTGACCCTCAATTCATACTTAAAACCTAGCCAGTAACCAACATATTTCTCTCACTAGCTTTACATAAGTGTGTACTAAACAGGTCATCACAGGTCTCCATTGTCAGAATTCTGAAAGCACAGACTCCAGAAACCACACCACCCTGGTGGCAATTTGATCAACTATGGCATCCTCTCACACCTCCTCTGGAAACAATTTTGTTATGTGCATTGGTGTTCTATCTGCATGTATGTCTGTGTGAACATTATTAGGTCCATGGAACTGGAGTTGCAGACAGTTGTGAGCTGTCATGTGAGTGCTGGGAATTAAACCCCAGGTCCTCTAGAAGAGTGCTCTTAACCACCTTGTCATCTCTCCAGCCCCTCTTCTGAAGACTTCAACCCTGAGGTCCTAATACTTATAGACTGACAAGGATATGCACGATCTGGTACCACTCTAGCAAACAGGATTTTTCTTTGGAAATGGCCAAAAGCCTTGTTTTCTAACACCTCTGCATGAGGTGCAGCCCTTCAGAAATAGTGCTTGTCTGAGTGAGTATCAGTCCTTCCTGTTCAGCAGCTGGTCTCCAGGTGTTTTGTTACTGAAAACTGTGCCTTAGCTGTCAAGGGGTAGGGACTGAGTAATGACAGCCTCTGGCTTCTTCCATCCAAGTTTACCCTGCAGCTTTGTTATACCTTCCAAATACTGAGTGGGGAATGAACATCATATCTGTATCAGCAAAAACTAAGGAGGTAATAAATTAATGCATAATGCCTTCGGAGTCAAGGATGTAAAAACCATACTACTGACCTCTAGAAACACTGCAGTGATTAATGGATTAAGAACATCCGCCTTTTCTCTGACCTGGAATAAAGGAGAGAGTTTTGTCACAGTGCACCTTAAGAAAACAACAGCAGAACAGGTTCCCACCTTGAAACACACATGGATAAACAAAGGCACAGAACATCTCGACCATCTCTGCAAAGAAACTTTCAGTGCTGTAAACTCCTTTTTACACCTTTCTACACTACCAAATTGAGAATGCCCTGCTTTGTAATTTGGGGGGCTCTGCTGCTATTAATGTTCTGTGTGTGTGTGTGTGTGTGCATGCATGTTCTCAGGGTACACATGAGCCACAGAACGAGTGTGGAGGATAGAGGACAATGTTTCAGGAGTCCGTTCCCTTCTTCTACCATGGCTTCTCAACTCAGGTCATCAAGTTTTCTCAGCCAGTGCTGAGTCATCTCACCAACCGGTAAACATTTATCTTTTTTAAAATCTTCATTCTGTAAGGTGTAAACACAAAATGGAGTTTTATGCGGGCAAACAGAGAAATGAAGGAATGTCACTAGCAGAAGAGATGACAGCCTCTAGTACCATCCTCATGCTGAGTAGAAGAGATGGAATCTGGAGTGGCATGTCTCTGTGTGTATGGACAACAGGGTGGGAGAGGTAGGGCAGTATAAGCAGGGCTATTTAAGAGACAGAAGATCACCAAGCACTAGGAGGGAGGGACAAGAGAGGAAACTGGGGGTGAGTCTGTACACAAGACAGTGTCAACTTGACAGTACCCAGAATCAGCGGGGAGACCGTATCTGAGCGGCCTATGAGGGGTTGTCTGACTGGCTTAAGTGACTGCAGGTGGGAGCACTCCCTAAGCAGGGGCTTCTGCAATGCTGAAGACCAGCACACAGGCATCCGCTGCACTCTTCTTCTGACTGCAGACAATGTGACCAGCTGCCTCAAGCTCCTGCTGCTTCATTTCCCACCATGGTGGACTTCATCCTGTAATTTTCCCCCCTTAGACTGTGTTGGTCACAATATTCTATCACAACAGCAGGAAAAGAAACCAAGACAGTGCACTCAAAGAAATTAAAATAATGAAATACATATGCAGATAAACCATAAGAGGAAAGTAATCTTCATTTTAGAAGGGCGGTTGGAACTTCAGAACTTCAGAACAATTCTAAAACAAGCACAGTCAACCCCTCAACTATTCTGAAGGAAGGCCTCTTGTCTCATTTCATGCATACACAGCATGGATTTCTTTTTCTATTTTTTTTAAGATTTATTCATTTATTATATATATATATATATATATATATATACACACACACACAAACAAAACACATACATACATACATGCATACATACATACATAGTGTTCTGCCTCTGCATGTACCCCTGCAGGCCAGGAAAGGGTACTAGATCTCATTACAGATGGTTGTGGTCGCTGGGAATCGAACTCAGAACCTCTGGAAGGCCAGCTAGTGTTCTTAACCACTGAGCCATCTCTCCAGCCCTCACAGCATGGATTTCAACCGAACATGTCAGCACTCTGTAGTTGACAAGCCACCTTGAAGTGCCTTCACAGAACACACAAAATTACTCTATTCAGGAAACCCAAGAGCTCATTTAGAGAAAATAATAGGAAGGAAGAGTAGCTACAGCCTAGGATTACTCCAAAGAGAAAAAATCCAAACTCCAGCTTTAGAATTTCATCTAGCCACAGTTATGCTAAATGTAAGCCCCACAGCAACTCTGCACCACAACAATGAAATGCACACTGTGGAGTTATTTTCATCTGCTTTCGTGCCCTTGGTTTATCTCATTCTGTGATCACTGGTTTCCCAATCACCTTCCACATCATTTGCTGACCTTCAGCAATCTTAGACCATTAAGGTGGAGCAGGCAGACAGCCAGAGCAGAAGACTGACTGAAAACACCTTCAGTCACATAAAGAACAGAAAGTGAACTGCAATGCTACAAATTCTCAAAGCCCAGTTCCAGTGACCTACTTCCTCCATCAAGGCTCAACATCCTATAAATTCCATGACCTTTCGAAAACAGCACTGGGGACCAAACACATGTGTCTATGGCAAACATTCCTCATGCAAACCACCATGGTACAATACATGGTGCTCAAAAAAAGGATGTAAGAATAAAACCATGTGTCTATTGTCTCATGACTTCTGGCAAGAAGACAGAGACTTTAGTGGGGAAGGGGGTGACTTTTACAATAGAACCTGAGACAGAAGAATGCAAACCCATGAGGTGTACACTGCCACTCACACTACACACACTATTTAACTCAACATTCATCACAGAAGTTAAGAGCTCAGTTGATCTTCCATTAGTTAACACCTTCTCAGTTAAAACACCAAAGTTGTATGTGATGATGAAGACCACTGAATGTAGAATTTTGTTGACATTTTTAAACTATACATAAAACACTATCAAGAAACTAAAACAAGAACCCAGGTATAGTTGTACATACCTGTAATTCCAGCAGTCAGGAAGCAAAGGCAGGAGGATAGCAAGTTCAAGGCCAGTCTGACCTACACAGACCCTGTCTCAAAGACCCAAAAGTTGGGTCTATTACTCAGTGGTGGAGTATTTGCCGTACATGCATAAGTCCCTGGATTTGCTCCCCAGCACTGCAAAAGCAAACAAGCACTGAGGGAAAATCTGTGCCTATCACATACCTGACAAACTGACTTCCATAAGACACAAGAAGTTCTTACATGTCTATAGTAAAAGCCAAACAACCCAATTAAAGTTACTGCATCAAACATCTCTCCAAACCCACACAAGTGGCCAAGAAGTGTGTGGAAAGACACTCAGTATCATTAGACACTAGAGAAATGCAAGTCTACTCAGCAGTGAGGCACCACTTCACACTCACCAAGGCATCAAAACCCACAAAGAAACCACAACTAATATAGGTAAAGATACAGGAAAACTGGTACTTCATACCTTGCTGATAAGAATGGAAAACTATGGAGCCACTTTGAAAGCAATGACATTTATTATCTCACCTACAAAGCCCAGCAGTTCTGCATCCTGTATTCAACCCAAGAAAACTGAAAACATGTTAACACAAGAGCTCACACCATGTTCACGACAACATCATTCACAGCAATCACAAATAGGAACAGTCCAAATGTCTATCAACTGAAAAAGATAAAACGTGGTATACTCAGCCATAAAATAAAGTATTAATAAAAAACAGGAAAAACTAACACATGCTAAAAAACAGGATCAAATTTAAAACTAACACACTAATCTAGCAAAACATACACATGTGATCTCACTAAATAAAATCTAGAATAGGAAAGCATTGTGGAGACAGAAAATGCACCATCATTGCCTAGGATTAGGGGAGTATTGAAAAAGAAATAGGGAGTGCTACTGTGTGGAAAACTTACAGGGCTGTGATGAAATGTCCTAAAATCCAATTCTAATAACTGTACATCTCTGTAAACAAATGTACTAACAACCATCAACTTGTACCCTGAAACATGAACTTTATGGTATGTAAATTATATTCAAAGCATTCAGCCATTAGCCCCACGAGGCAGGAACGCTTACCCCAGCAGTGGTGAGGCAGGTGGTGAACTCTTTAGACAGAGAGCCCAGGTCTTTACACAACATGACTGTCAACCTGGAGAGAAGAACACATCAGAAAAGTTCTGTTCTTCTTTCTATTTCTACTCCTTTAATAAACTAAACACATCACCCCTAAGAACAATGGAGAAGGAAGCCTTAAAAGGTAGAAACACACCTTTCTCTCCCAGTGTTTCAGTATGAAATACACAATTCTAAAGTGATACACTTAGGAGTCAGAGTGACTCTGTCACTTGCTTTGTACTCCATCCTGGGTTCCTGTGGCCATCATCAGTACCTGGGGGGTGTCAAGTGCTGGTAAGTGCCCATTTCTTCCTGCAACAGACAGACCCTTACCTGCCTTTTGCTACCAGGGATGCTTCTTGGGTAAAAGAGCTCTCTGACTCTGCTCTGGAAGCCATGCTTTTCTTCCTCATCATATCTTGTGAACCAACCATCCTCTCCCAGGTTCCAGTCCTTGAGGCAGCCCCTCCATTTTCTAGCTCCCTTCCTTCTTGCCCAAGTCCCTCCAGCCTGAGTTACAAAACCAGCTCCCTGTCCTTGCTCATCTCTCATCTCCATGTGTTTTCTCAGCTCTTCCACACCTACTGTGACAATTCCCCATGCTCAAACACTGGTGTATTCTCCTTATCATGTGTGATTCCTTTACTCTCTCAACACAACCGTAAGTTAGATGGGCACTGATATTATTGTCTTGTTTCATTATTGTTGGTTTTTGTTTTTATTTTGTTCTGGGTTTTTTGTTGTTGTTGTTTTTGGTTTTTTGTTGTTGTTGTTTTTTTGTTTTTGTTTTTTTAAGATAGAGTCTCTCTATATAACTCTGAATATCCTGGAACTATGGAGACCAGGCTGGGCTGGTCTCAAACTTAGAGATCCATCTGCCTCTGCCCCAAAAATGCTGGAAAAACAATGAAACTAATGAAAGTTAAGTAAGCCAGCCACTATCACTCAGCTTATAAATAACAGCTTCAAAAGATCAGTTACAGGACCTCCTAGTACTAAAAGTCTGCTTAGAGGAAGTAGTTTGGAAAGAACGACGCCCAAATTACCAAATATTTTCTATAAATGTTTGTTTCCATTTAAATGGACTTGGTTATTAAAAAAAAAAAGTCTGCTTAGAATCCTCATATTTTGGGGTATCTATCTATCGGTCTTATCCTGACTATTCACAGTGTCCCTTTTTGGCTCTCTGAGGCATGTTTCAACAAGTAAATATTGAAATCTCTTCCGAAGTAAGGCCACACTTACTAGAAGTTTTTCCTAAGAAGCCTGCTTACTTCCCCATCAGAAAACTATGAGCAGTGCCGTTGAGCTTAGCACCGAACACCCACCTCCCTTCCCCCCCCCCACCCCATGTGTGTACACATACTCTCCTGCATCTGTCTGTCTCTTTCACACACACACAAAAGGATGCCCATTTAGATTTAGAAACTACTAGGCTTAGGTGTATCCTTCCTACTGGAATTATTCACATTTTATTACTTTGAAATATGTCTGTTCAAAACCAACAAAAAAAAAAATTTTTTTAAATTATGTGTCACACTTGGGCAGCCTCCCTTAACTGCCCGGGGTCCACTGCTCCTCCATTTGTAAAGCTGTGCTAATCATTTACCTTGTGTGCTGCTGTAAAAATTAGAACTAATACATGTTAATCCCTTAGCATGGCGTCTGGCATACAATGAACATTGGTAACTAATAACTGTAATTAAGAGCTGAAGTACTTAGAACTACTTTCTGTTGTTACTTGTGCCAAGGTCCCCTCCTACTGACACTAATAATATGCAAAGAAATAGTTTTCAGAGAACAAAGCTGTTAATGAAATGGGCAGGCTTATTGTCCCTGCTCACACAATATCCTAACACATACCCATGTGCAATGGGAATAGAACCTTGTTTAAAAAAGCAAGTTTCTAAAACCTGGTAGGAGCAAGAAAAACCTCTCCACAGTTCCCTTTGAGAGATGCAGACCATCATACTCACTGGGAGAGCGTCTGACTCCTCTCTAAGGCTGTCACCTCCTGCTTCTGGCCATGCAGAACCAACGCCGCTGTTTTGTGGAACAGTTCAATTGAGCAGGCAGTCAATTCTGCTAAGCTCCGGATTGCAAATGCATGAATATCCTAAAAGGCAAACAAAGAAACAGAATATTATTATTGTTGTTTATCGCTGTAAGCAGAGATGGCAGCACCTTGCTTCTCACACTAAAGACCATGGTGCTTCCAAATAGAAAAGCAAAAGGCCACTGTTTAATACACCTACTCTTCTTCCACAGGACGGCACCTGTCACAGTTTGGTTCATAACTACAGAAGGCTCCTGCACAGCTGGCTGTGACCATGTGACTAAGTCTGGCCAAAGGACTGAGATAAGTGTCTGACAACTTACTCTGCGTTACAAACAACTTCCCTCCCTCCCTCCTTCACTTTCACTATTTTTCTTCATTCCTCTCCTATAGCCTGGAACTAAGATAATACCATCCTGAATCATAACGTTTAAATTATTGATACCAACATAACAAAATAAAAGGACCCTCATCTCAACTGCAATATCAACCTCTGTCTGGGGGGAAGGGGAAGGCGGGGAGGAGGGATGCACTTACCTCTGTGTGTATGTATGTGTGTGGAGTCCAGAGGGCCATGTCCAATGCTTTCCCTTCCTCTATCACTCTCCCCTTTATTGTTTGTGAAAGGGTCTCTCACTGAACTTGGAGCTTACTAATACAGGAAGACTGGCTGGTCAGTGACACCTGTGAGAATCCTCTTGCCTTAACACTCCTACATCCTCCTGCACTGGGGTTACAACTGTGCAATACCACACCTGCCCTTATATATGGATGCTGGGAACCCAAGTTTAGGTCCTAATGCTTGGACAGTAAGCACTTTACCCCCTCAATTTTATCTCTTTTTAAAATGAGCTTAGTTGCTTTGGTTACCTCTATTGAATTTCTTTTGGCCTCCTCAGTATTTTCTGTCTCCAGCTGTTTTTCCCCTTCTTCTTTCTCTGTTACTGGCTTAACCAGAGATGTTCTGATCCATTCGTAGGCTGTATTTCTTGCCTAAATAAGGAAGATAATTCAACAATTCAATGCAGTTCTTACTAGGATACATCAGCACCCTAGAGGACAAACTCTTCTTACCAGAACAAACCATGTGACTTTTAAGTCCTTGTCTTACTAAATACAAACTCCTACACTAAATCCTGTCCAAAGGCTCCTTGTGAAGCCCCCTAGTTGTATGTGTATGTTAGGTAGATTGCATGCATTTGGAGCACAGATCAGACATGTACATGTGCTTCTGAGGCTGGAAGCCAGGTCAAGCTGCAGATCACTCCCCCAGCCCAGAGTCCTCCACATCCCTTACTCAATCCTACTCACACCAAAGACTTCTACTCACCATCTACAACCTCAACCATTCTTAAAATTCATAAAAATAGGCCCTGCCTTCTTCTCATTTGTGCCTGCATGTTTAAAGCACAGCCAATGTCAGTCACACCCACAGTCACATGTACCAATTCACTGACTTACTGTGTGAAGATGGCCACTCCATACAAACTCCATGATTTCCCTTCCTTCTGATAATGAAGCTTTCTCAAGTTTCCCTGTTTTTTTTTTTTTTTTTTTTTTGTTTGTTTGTTTTAACATGATCTTCCGGTTCTTCACCAACCCTCACAACCACTGCTTCTCAGTGTAAAACTGATCTTGCTGGCCTGCCAATACTCTACAGATCTCACCCCACTCACCCTAGTACTGCTTCTGCCTACAACATTATTTCCAATCTTAACTTCTTTCTCTGGAATATTAAAACACCACAGGAGCTTGAATGCTAGAATTAGCTGCTGAGCACACTCTGGCTAATGCACCATCTTCCCCAGGCCAGCACATGGGTCACAACACAAAGCCTCTTGCTCCTCACCTGCTGGGAGGGAAGAAAAGATGGCTATACTGACTCCACACAGCCAGCAGCTCTGTGGCCAAGCAACAATGCATGCCTCTTGCTGACTGCCCCTGGAGGCAAGAAGCAGCACATGACAACACACTATCTCATAAGCAGACAGTGAAATACATGGGAGCTCCCTACTCTGAGCTCTGATAAGACTCTGTCCCAAACACATGACAGCAGTTCAGAGTCTTCACCAAACAGCAGGCTCAGTCACGGGACTTCCTTGTTCCTACATTCTAAGTGGTCATTAGCAGAGTCAATGTCAGTCATCGTGTGGCAATGTTGAGCTCTAGGTGCAAACGGCAGGGCCCATACCTCATCATTTCTGATCAGAAACCTCATTTGATGGACACTTTGGTTCCATGAAGTTTGGTCAGCATTGTCAACTTTAAATGCTCAAATCTACAGGCTCGATAAAGCATTCAAACAAATGATGTATTACATATAAACAGGTCAAGATGGAACATGTACTGAGGAGGTAGACATGGGATCTACACACTAATGTGGAGAGTAGGAGGCAAGGAAAAGATATAGAATCCCTTTCTGGAACTATCAAGAATATATCCTCATCTGGGCATTGGTGGCGTGTGACTTTAATCCCAGCACTCAGGAAGTAGAGGCAGGCAGATCTCTGTGAGTTTGAGGCCATCCTGATCTACAGAATGAGTTCCAGGACTGCCAGGAACACAGAAAAACCTTGTCTCAGAAAAACAAAACAAAAAACAACAAATATATATATATATATACATATATACATATATATATATATATATATATATATATATCCATCCATCCATCCATCCATCCATCCATCCATCCATCCATCAACCCTCCATGCTAGCAATCTTACTGGCCAGGAAATTACAATCTTATATTCATCATCCACCAAACTATATGTTCTGGGAATGTTGAGACAAGGTCTTGATAAGTAGCCCAAGTTGGCTTTGAACTTACAATCCCCCTGCCTCAGCCTCCCAAATGATGGGATCATAGGCATGTGCCGTCACACCTGAAACCCATTGAAATATTACCAACAAGATACTGAAAACTCCCCAAAACAGAGTAACTTACTCTAATGAAAATCCCCAAAATGAAGCAACTTACCCTGGCAAGTTTCTCTGGTCTGGATGAGACATGAAGCTGAGCAAACAGTTCTGTTATCTCCTTGGTAAACTCTTCATCCCCTAAAAACCAAGACCCACATAAAACATTTGAGGAAGCCTGCCAAGGATACTATGCTGTCTAGATTTAAGTTAACTTGATACAAGTGGAGTCATCTGAGAGGAGGGAACCTCAGTGGAGAAAACGTCCCTCTAAGATCTGACTGTGGGCAAGCCTGTAGAGTGCTGTCTTCATTAGTGACTGGTCAAGGAGGGCCCAGCTGATTGTGGGCAGTATCACATCTGGGCTGGTGCTCCTGGGTTCTATAAGAAATCAGGCTGATACCTCAAGGAGATGAGGGGACAGACTTAGTAGACTTCCTAGGGGAGGTCTTACCCTCTCTGAAGATCAGATGGGAGAAGAGGTGGGGAAGTGAAGGGAACAGGAGGAGAGGAAGGAGGGGAAACTGGGATCAGAATGTAAAATATAAATTAATAAAAAAAAAAGAAAAAAAAGAAAAAGAAAAGAAATCAGGTTGAGCAAGCCATGATGAGCAAGCCTGTAAGCAACACTGTCCATGACCTCTGCATCAGCTCATGCCTCCAGGTTTCTTCCCTGTCTAAGTTCTTTTCCTGACTTCTCTCAGCAATGAACTGTTGCCTGAAAGGGTTAGAAAAATAAACCCTTTCCTCCCCAAGTTGCTCTGGTCATAGTACTTATCACAGCAATAAAGATCCTCACTAGGACAAGGAGACACAAAACATGCAAGCAAATGGGGGTCATGATCACAGCACATAGAGACATCTAAACAAACAATAATAGCCTCCTCTCTTCTCATCTAAATCTTGTCCATTGGCCCCTGCTGAGATCCAGCCCATACAGTGCCAATCAGAGCTCTTAAAACACAGAAATCTGTCAGCACGAACATATGTAAGAGTGTTTCTTAATCGTAAGTCCATTGGGCATAAGAACAAAGGAGTTCTCCTTTATACCTAATACTTCCTCAAAAAGATCCCCAGAAAATTTCCAAGGTGTCATCTTGGTTCTTCTCTCAACTGTACTTTCACCCTCTCTTCAACTATCTCTCTTGATAGTTGAAGCAGAGAATAAAAATGATTTACTGACCTCCAATATGACAGGTTTTGGGAAAAGCTCATCACTGATACAGCCCTCACTCACATAACTCATGTCAACAACTCCAACACAACCAACACAACCTAGCACAAAAGGAAACAAAACCTGGCTTCCATAGTCATTTGGTTTTCCCAACCAAGCTCTAAGTGTGACTGGGTGTAAGGTGGGACTCTGAACCCACCTGGAACACACAAGGTCCAGGGAATTCACAAGACAACCAAGTGCACAGAGGAAAGAACAGGAATCTATGCTTGCCCCCACATAAATATTTTATATTTTAGGTTGTTCATAACAGAACATTACAACAGTGCACATATTAAATTTGTAAGCATTCAAATATACTATGAGTTATCAAAAAGCTGTTACTATCAAAAGCAGTGATTAAAAAAAAAAAGTGTGGTAATTGCTGTCAACTCCTGCTACACAAAACTGAGTGAGTAAACAAACAGCTGCTAAATTAGAAGAGAAGTAGTTGTTGGGCTGGGTGTGTGGCTCAATGACCCAGTGTTTGTTTAGATTCGTGGCTGGAAAGGAAGCAGGGTACTACTGCTTAAGAGGGGCAGTGGGAAGAGGCTGGAGTTGCCCACACGGAAAGACTCTGAAATGAGGTCTAAAGTGAAAGCAACCAACATCAAGAGCTGGGCTCTGCACTGTCTCCTCCTGTTATTCCCTCATTTCTGTCTTAACAGCAACAGTGGCATAAATTAACTCCCAAGTCACTGAGCATTTTCCACCAGAATCAGAGAACTGGGACAGGGCAGGCAGGAGAATCACAGAGGACAGCTGCGGCAGGGCAGGCAGGAGGACTGTGCTGGAAGCCATTGCTGTATTTTCAAAGACTTCATTCCTAGCAAAGGTAAAAAGAATGTCACAGACTGTTCCATCTGTTCAAAAAACTTGAGGCCCTCTGAACAGTAAAGAAAAATGAAGATTTCTACTTACTGTGCAAAGCCTAGAAATTGACTAAATTGAACACAGATACTGTTAATTGTCCCATGTACAAATAACTTGTGTACAAATAATTAGGTTGACAAATATATGGGAACTGTCATACCCTTGGTCTGGTTAGGAACAATGAACAACTTAAACCAAAACTGCTTTATTGGTTTCCTGATACGGTTTTTTTTTTTTTTAATTTTATTTAATTTTATATAACAGTCCAATTAAATGAAAACACCTGATACGGTTTTTAAGATGCAGATTTTTTTACCTAGATATTTATGGTTTCTAAATTATGAAAATAATAGCAAACATTTGTTAGGTACCTATTATGTGTCTGGCTACAAATACATTTAATTTATTCCTCATAACACCATGAGAGGAATGAGACCATCTTCTAACCAAGATAAAAGGAAGGCTGCAACACTTGTAGCGGTCACATGGGTTTGTGAGAGGTGGGTCTTCATTTGGAACCCAAGCTCAACTTCAAATTTTATCATTTGGGTTACTAAACTGGCATCTCAAGAACTCTGAACAATTTCTAAGACATACATTCAAATACCATTTCTAATCAAGAGCTGAAACTTTACATAAATTGCCACTTAGTAAGACTTTACATACACAGCCAGTTTGACTTCTCAGTACACAAAGAGAACAAAAAACATCCCTGTCTAAGTAAAGTCCACACTCAGCCTCTGTTCTTCTCGCACAGAAGAGACCTACAGCCCTGTCTCAGAGGAACTTTGCTTTGCTCTCAGGAGACTGAGTAAGTTGTTTGATTTCCCACTCATAGTAGATTGGAAATGAAAAAAATTAAATGAGACTTAGAGCTGTCCAAGGCAAACGTCCCATACTCAACAAAAGTAAAAGGTAAACTCACAGAAGACTGAGACACACAGCACTAAAAAGCAATTGCAGTGGATTTTTTAAGTGCTGCAGATTGGTATAATTAACCCAGAAATTCTCAAACATTAAAACCCTGTGGCAAGCCAGGCATTGGTGGCACAGGCCTTTAATTCCAGCACTTGGGAGGCAGAGGCAGTGGCAGAGGGATCTCTATGAGTTCGAGTCCAGCCTGGTCTACACAGCAAATTCCACGACAGGCTCCAAAACAACACAAAAAAACCCTGTCTCGGGGAAAAAAAAAAAAAAGTATTCATTAATAAACACTATAATCAGAATATATTATATAAGAAAAGAATCTATTTTCAATAAAATAAAAAATGCAAAAACTAACAATAATAATAAACACAGGCTAGGAAGACAGCTCCATCCTGCTGTGCAAGGATGCTGACTTGCATTCAGAGCTGCAACATGCACATAAAAAGACAGGTGTGACAGCTCATGTCTGTAATACCAATGCTAGAAGGCAGGACAGAGGACACTGGGAGCTCACTGGAAAGCCAGCCTAGCAAAAACTGTACTCCAGACTCATTGAGAGATCTTGTCCAAAAAAAAAAAAAAAAAAAAAAAAGTAAAACAGAAAACAACAGAGGAAGGCATCCAACATCATCCTCGTCCTCAATAAGAACATGCATACATAGGCATGAACCCTCACACACACACACACACACACACAAAACAGTACTAGCCCTACTACTTGTTAATAAAACAAACTTCTTTTTCAGACAGGATTTCTCTGTGTAACAGCCCTGACTGTGCTGGGACTCATTTTGTAGATCAGGCCTTGAACTCACTTTGTAGACCAGGCTGCCATCTAACTCACAGGGATCCCCCTCTGTGCTAGGATTAAAGTCAGTGCCATCACCACCCGACCAAGTCCAACTTCCTTTTGAAACAGGGACTAAGCAGTGAGAGATGAACTTGAACAGAAGCTCTTGCCTCTACCTCCCAACTGCAGAGATTACAGTCGTGGGCCATCATGTCCCATTTTATGTGGTTATGGGACTAAACCTAGAGTTTCATGCATGCAAACATTCTACCCACTGAGCTACACTGCCTGCCCCAATAAAGCATACATTCAAAGAAAAATACATCTTCCAAAAAAGGAAAAATTAATGAAAACAATGTCATTGTTTTATATCTTTGTTACATGTCTAACAAGTAGCTTAATGAAAGAGAGCTAAATTATATTAAGCAGTTTTACACTTAGACTGTTAAGACAGGAGATTTCAAGTATGTAGACAATATCCAACCTTACAGAGATGCACTGTAGCAAAGGGAAAATACATTTTAATGACTTTGCAGACACCAGTAACAACTACTCTTGAATAATCTTGTGTGTGTGTATGAGGAAAAGGGAGAAGGAGGGGGGAAAGTGGACAGGAAAGGAAGAGAAGAAGAGGGATAGGGTGATGGGGACAACCTTGGGTGTGAGTCCTTCCTTTCTCTTTGTTTAAGATAAGACAAGGTCTCTTTGACTGTAGTGTCTTCCAGGCTAACTGGCCTTAGCTCCCAAGGAGTCTCCACTTGCCACCTCCCTGTAAGAATGCTAAGATTACAGAAGTCCTCTACCATGCCCAACTTTCACATGAGTTCTGGAGATTCGAAGTCAGTTCCTACACTTGCATGGCAAGCATATTACCCACAGAGCCATCTCTCCAGCCCCCACTGAATATTCTTTAATACTATGGAAATATTCAACAGGTGGTTATTTCTTAAAGGTTAGTTCCAATAACCTATATTATAATGAACCTGAAGACACACATGGTTGTCTTACATTAAAAGCCACTAGGCTATCTCTTGCTCAGGTGTAATTTTATACAACACACATCAGTCAGTGAAAAAAGTTCACTTCCATTATGAAGATATCCAAAATGCTGACACATCTCACTGTAAAACATACAAAAGTGAATGTTACTGTTACTATCACCACAGGATTCCTCAGAAGAGCAGCACTGTAAACTGCCAAGTTCATCAAAACAATAAATACATTTCACAAAATTCTAACTTTCACTTATTCTTAATTTCTATCATCAGTGACTTAAACAAGTCAAGGGTAATTTCATTCACCTTGTTTTGCTTTTTTTTATAATAATTTTTTTATAATTTTTATAATAATTTTATATTAATTATCTTTGTGTTGGGAGGTGTATATGATAGTTTGAGTAAGAATGGTCCCCACAGGCTCATAAATTTGAATGATTAGATTGAGGAGTGTCACTATTTGAAAGGATTAGGGGCATGGCATTGTTGGAGTGGGTATAACCTTGGTGGGTAAGTGTGGCTTTTTTGCAGGAAGTATGTCACTGCAGGTGAGCTTTGAGGTTTCAAAAGCCCACGCCAGGCCCAGTGGCTTTTTCTTCCTGCTGCCTGAGGATCGGGATGTAGAACTCTCAGCTACCTCTCCAGCACGTCTGCCTGGGTACTGCTATACTCCCTGCCATGAGGAAAATGGACTAAACCTCTGAAACTGTAAGCACGCTCCAATTAAATGCTTTCTCTTATAAGAGTTGCTGTAGTCAAAGTATCTCTTCACAGTAACAGAACACTGACTAAGATGAAGTATGTTCATAGAGGCTATGAGAAGGCTCTGGGCCTCCTGAAAATGAGGTTACAGGCAGCTTGTAGGCCACCTGATATTGATGCTGGGAACCAAACATGGGTCCTCTGTATGGGCAGCTCTTAATCACTGAGCCATCTCTCCAGCCCTGTTATTATTCTTTTTGGTTTTTGTTTGGTAGGTTGGGTTTGGGGTATTTGAGACAGGCTGGCCTGGAACTCATTGCATTCCTCTTGCCTCTGTCTCCCAAGTACTGGTGTTATAGGCTTGTTCCACTAACTACTCCCTTCTGAACGGCCTATGCAGCTGCTCATACTTCTAAGTGAAAACAGTCTTCTTTGTTAGAAGAGAGTTCAGCTCAAACTCAACACAACACGCTCTTCCTGGGACAATCATCCTTCAGTGTCCGCTGCACAGTATATGGAGGTGCACTTTAGAGCGGACATCTGACAACACTGATAACTCACACCATTTCCTCCCAACTCAAGGGTCAGTGAAACGGGCCCTTCTCTTGTAACTCTGAATGTACAGCAGTAAAGACACAACACAGCAGTGCAAGCCAATGCTGCCTGCCACTTGGACAGAGCCACATCGTGGCGGCACATTTCACCTGTTGCTATTCTTCATCATCCAGGTGTTAAAGCAGTAAACGCTAAACTAACCCTCTTCAGAGGGAGGCTCTGTTCCATTCTCACAGTACTGTGTAGTCTGACTCCCTGAGGGTGACAGGGACATAGGAACGCCACGCTACACTTCATAAACCACCAGCTTAACCTGCCACACAGGTTATGTATGCAAGGATGATCCCTGAAGGGATCAACTTCAATGTTTCTAACTGCTTACTTCATTAAAAAAAAAAAAAAAAAAAAAAAAAAAAAAGGCAAAAGGCAAAAGTAGTCATTAAACTCTACTTTCTTGATCTTGGAATTATTTTCAACTGAAATATCCAAGTAAAACTGTCCTGATCAGAGATTAATATGCACCTGCCCAGAAACTACACTATAAACCATATTTCCTGCTAATTTTGCAAAACTGCGTGGTTTCAACATTTACATTCCCTAACACACACAGACATTAAGTAAACATGAAAAAGAAAAAGGATCATCCACAGTCTGGGGTAACAACTGCCTTGCCTGCTTCAAGATGGGACAGGGGTTAGAACAGCAGAAAAGGCACAGAGGAAGTGTCTAACCAGTAGGAAGGCTCACAGTGGCGACCTGTCAAACAGCAAAGAATCTGACAGGAGCACACACAGAGCTGACAGGAGCACACACTCAGGGAAGTGGCAGGGCCCTGCAGCAAAGGGTGAGCAAGCCCTGATGAAAGAAAGGCATGGAGATTCTGTAAGAAAACTACAATGGCCAGGTGACTCCTTCAAGGGCATCGCTGCAGCCGACAGGGAGCCACTCGCTTGGGTGCAGAAGCTTCCTTACCTTGTCTCTCCTCCTCGTCATCCTCACAGAACTCCACTAGGGAAACCGCTTCTTTGAGCTGCTCTAATTCAAGTCTTGTGGTCTGTAATTCTTCTCCACTTAGAGAACTAAGGATAGATTTCACCTAAATAGATATAAGACAAACAGGTGGGAAAATTAAAAGATTATCAAATAGAGATGAGTCCACAGGTCAAATGGAATCTAAATTATAAACTAACTAATCGGCACAAGTTGTTCTGGAGAGGAAGGAGGAGCAACATCCCACCATATAGCCCAGACTAGTCCTGAAATCTCAAGTCTCCTGCCTCAGCCTACTGAGAACTGGGACTACAGGCTTGTGTCACCATGGCCAACTTCTAGTCCATAAAAATTTAACTCAGGGCTGGAGAGGTGGCTCAGCAGTTAAGAGCACTAGCTGTTCTTCCAGAGGACCAAAATTCAATTCCCAGAACCCACAGGAGAGCTCACAATTTCTGTTAACTCTGGTCCCAGAGAACATGACACCCTCACATAGACACCCTTGCAGGCAAAACACCAAAGCACATAAAAAAAGAATAAATTAATCATTAAAAAGAAACCAAGAATTTTAATTCAAAAAGCTAATTCCTACAGAAAGAAAGGTTGGGAGAATCTGTACTTTCCAAAGTAAAATGGGCTAGACATATCTGAAAACTATTAGTGCTTAACAGCAGCTTATAAATAATGGGACATGAAACAGTCTTCAGTTGGGCTGGAGAGTTGGCTCAGCAGTTAGTTAATAGGGTTTGCTTCTCTTCCAGAGGACCTGAGTTTAGATACCACTACCCACACCATGCTGCTCACTATCACCTACAATCCCTGCTCTAGGGATCTGGTATCCTCTTCTGGCATCCATGGGAACCTGCTGCACAGGCATACACATACACAAATAATAAAAAATAAATATTGATCTAGGTACAATGATGTCCACCTTTAATCCCAACACTCAGAAAGCACAATCAATCAGATCTCAGTGAGTTTGAGGCCAGCCTAGTCTACAGCAAATTCAGGCTGGTTAGGGCTACACAGTAGTCCTATTTACACACTTACACACACACACACACACACACACACACACACACACACACACAAAGCCTTGAACCAACTAAAAGCCAATAGTTAACTATATACAAACTGGAAGCTTAAGTCAGTAAATTTTTGGAAGCTAGAGCCAAAGAGACTGCAGAAAAAAGATAAATACAAACAGACAGACAGATGTTGGAAAATTACAAATGTGTTAAGAGCTTTTTTAACCCTGTCCTTTCTATGTAAGCAGGACAATCACCCTTGATTTTTTCCAGCAATTAGTTCATATATGGTTTCTGCTTGCTGTGCTGGCACTTCCAAAGTCTCAAGCCTCCACCAAAAACATCTCTCTTTCCAAATGTACAACAGAAACACATCTGCAGCATCCCCTTGTGAGGATATTTTTAGGAGGGGTTTGGGGTTGGGAATTACCTTTATTTCACTTTCTCGGGAAAGCATCTCCAGAGCTTCTAGATGTGAAAGGCCTTGAAACTCATCAAAGAGTAGCCCATAATGAGTTTTCTTGTCTGTTTCCATGGTTACCTCATTGGCGGGCCACTGCTCTTCTTTGTCCTTCACCTCTCGTAAAACCTAAAAAAGAGATGGAAGCATTGCACTGCACCAAGTAATGAGAGCTCAAGAGTGAGATTACAGAGCAGAAGAGAGCACAACTGCTCACACAGGCTCCATTCAATCCTGGCTTCGCAGTTCAAATCCAAGAAGCTGGGGAAGAGCATCAATAAAGTTATCGCACAGAATTGGATGCTAGGCATTAAATAACACCCAAAACACCAGGTGCTGTTCTGCAGGTGGCTTAAAAATTAATCTAACAGCTCTGACAGGGTTTAGCATTCCACTCTGCTGACAGGAGGCTGCTGAGAGGGACAAACAGCTGGAACTCCTCTATGTACTGGAGCCTCTCACTGGCTACCCCACAACCTCAAAGGATTCAAAAGAAAAAAAAAAAAAAAAAAACACTAACAAGGTTCCCAAGTTAGCATCAGCTAAAATCAACACACACAGGAAGTGCACAGATGAATGAAACAGTACCTGTGACAGTGTAGATCGGTTCATCAGGCCCTTGGTTCTTTTAAATCCAGGATCCCCTTCTGCTATGACATCCATTGTCTTCTTTCCAATGAACTCCAAGGCATCCAAACCCCCACTGATAACACTCTTGCCCTGGGAAAGCCATAAAACTCCATTACAACAACACTGAGAATGTTTACACTTTGACTATTCAGTAATGGCTGAACAGTGTGGGGCTGGCAATGCAGGCCTATAGTTGCAGCTACTCAGGAGGCTGAAGGAGAATGTTCAGGTACAGCAAAGGAACATTCAGTAAATTCTGGCCACTGATGAGAACCCTCCTCAAAATAAAAAGTAAAAGGCAGTTAGGGATGTATTGCTAAGTTTAGTGATAGAGTATCTGTCCTGTGTGAGGCAAGGAAGGGCAGCTGTAAGGGTTCAGGCATTACGCTGGCCTGCCCCTGTCACCTGGCAGAATGCACTCAGGCAGTACTCTGGTCAGCCCAGGGTTCCAAGAGTACTAGTCTGCAGGCAGGTGTAAAGGACCCTTTAAAAGTCAGACCCCTGCCCACTTATGCTCTCTTTTGCTTTCTCTCTTCTTTTGCTTTTGCTCTCTTTCCAACTCTTCTCTTTGCTCTCATGTTCTCTCTCTCTCTCTCTTCCTCCCTCCCTCCCTCCCTCCCTCTCTCTCTCTCTCTCTCTCTCTCTCCCTCTCTCTCTCTCTTTCTCTCCCCTCTTCTGTTCCAGGTGCCTCTATGTCTCTTCCCTTCCCCCCTCACTTCCCTTTCTAAATAAACTCCTCATTTAAGCTCTATCTGCATGGCATGTTATTCCCTCTGCCTAGGTCACCCTCACCTGCTATGGAACCTGCTATGTTCTCCCACGTGGTCCCTCACTTTAAGACCACCCACTCAGGACCACCCCCCTTTCTCCAGCTTTATTCCTCCAACTATAACCGAACAACACCTAGGCTCAATCCCAGTACCAGGAGAAAAAAAAAAAATTAAAAAAGAAGCCAACACTACCAAGCACTGAGCAGCCTGAGAAGTAGCTGAGTAGCTGAAGTAATCATATGCCACTAACACAAATGCACATAGGTAGAACCACTTTGGAAAACTGTGGGTCAGTATTTATTGCAGCTTCATTACCCAGCAACCCACTCAAGAGAAATGTGTATACACCCAAGAGAAATGTGTGCAGAGATGTAGTAGAAGACATGTATAAGGGTGTGCAATGCAATGCTCTGTAATAGCTTACTGGAGCCTGGCTTGGTGTTAACCAATGGTAGGAGCAATAAAATGTGACCAAGTCACACTACAAGTACAACAAAGTTGCAACATGGATGTATTACAGACACAATGTATGAAAGACACTGAATGCACACCCATGACTCCACTTGTACAAAGCAGAAGAGCAGGTCAAAACTAACTCAAGATAGTAGAAGTCCTGGGGGTAGCTATCTGAGTTGGGGGAAGAACACATGCCTCAAGAAGGAAAAGCAATGGACTTAAAAGTTTCTTACTATGGTTGAAAGCAGTATACTGTGAAAATTTAAACTGAACACATATGCTATCATATTCTATGTGCTGCCATATTTCAAAAAGTTACAGTGGGGTTAAGCATGGTAAGGCATGCCTGCAATTCCTATTCTGGGGAACAAGGGTAGGTGACTGCATTCTGGAGGCTGTTGGTGCTTCAGAGCAAGACCCTGTCTCAAAAAAAAAAAAAAGAGTAAAGTCAAAAACCAAAATAAAAACTACTAGCCACCTACCCTCATTTAGGAAAGACATTAAAGGCCCGATGCTATCCTTTTTTAAACATTCATATCATCTATAGTTCAGCAAACGTCCATCATCCATCAAAAAGATCAAATGTCCCTTCTGCTCAGAAGGTGAAGTTATAAGAGAACTATCTTTGTAAAGCAGAAACACTCCCTAAGGACACCAAATCAGGACTTGCAGTCCCTAAAATAATCAACTCACACCCCACTTCTCTGGCTCTTACTCTAGCCCTGAGAAGTGAGTGACTCTCAGTGATCTGGACTCCCTTAGGAGCAACAGTACTCAGGCATCACAAGACAGGGAGATAGGCACACAGCCCACCATACCGACACAGGGCAGGCTCGTGGACTTCTTGCTTACCGTGCTCTGCACTGCTGTTGAGATGGTTGAGAGCATCCCGAAAGGCCCAGCCACTGGTGAGCTTTCAATCTCACTGGCATTTGTTTCTCCTGAAATAGAGGTTTGTAAACATGAAAGAAAGGATCATTACTTGCTCTAATAGCAAATATGTGTTAGATTTTTTTTTTTTTTAATTAGACCCTGTTTCTCCACACAAAAGCTTCAGGCCTATCTGTATTTATTTAAAATAAAACATCTGTCTATGTTAAAATTATAAAGCTAAAATAGGCTTATTTTTCATTTATTTCATTTCAAAAACGAAGTCAAGTCTTAAACAAACTAAAGGTTGTTGTGAAGTCAGAATATATACTGAAAGGTCTCAGAGACACAAACTTTTGGACAAGGGACAACTATTCAGCACTGGAAAAAAGACAAGTGATTGACCAGGGAGAAGAGTTACATGAATCTCTTTGGTAATAAAATATCCTTAGGTTTCAAGTATATAGATCCCGGGAAGTACCTATCACTGTTCTATTGATTACACATTCGAACATAAAACTATACAGCTAAAAGTAAACTACAACTCACTTTGTCCTAGAAAACAATGCTCACTAGTTGCCACCAAACGGACCTGCATTACAAAGGTGGCCATGCCTCAAAAACAATCTGTTCCAATTTATTAACTTTCAAAATCCTGTAAGAGGCACACGCCATTAATCCCAGTACTCCAGAAGCTGAGGCAGGTGGATCTCTATGAGTTCAAGGCCAGCCTGATCTACAGAGCAAGTTCCAGGACAGCCAGGATTATTATATAGAGAAACCTTGTCTTGGAAGAAGAAAAAAAAAATTCTGTAAGAGATCAGTTTTGGGGGATAAGGGGTTTGATTATGTGTTCATGCATATGTAGTACACATGTGTGTGCATATATGTGGAGGCAGGGGTTAACTCTAACTGTTCTTCAGGAAAGCTTTTTTTTTTTTTTTTTTTTTTCCTGAGACAGTCCCTCTCACTGGAACCCAGGGCTCACTGATTAAGCTAGCCCCATGTGGCTTCATGTCTCTGCCTTCCCAGTAGTAGTAGTTCAGCTTTTCTCACACAGGTTCTAAGAGTGGAACTCAGGTCCTGGTGCTATAGCAAGCAGTTTACAGACTGGGCTACCAGATAATCTGTGGACTTTTTCTTCCAGTTACAATGTATTAACTGCTGTTGGACCTGATCTCCTACCATGGCAGCTCCAAAACTGCACAAGAGATTAGAAACAATTTCAGAATCATACAAAGAGAGTTTGAGCCAACAAAAAAGAGAGAGAAAGTGACTCCTATGACTGAATTGGCTTGCTATCCAGGAGAACTTTCCAACTATCGCACAGGGAGGTAAAGGCAGAGATAAGAGACAGCAAAGATTGAGGGGAATCTGCAAGACTGGAGAGTATGGAGGCATCTCAGAATTCTGAGCCTCTACACACATATGCCTGAGTGCCTTTCCATGAGTACTGCACTGCACAGCATTCAGTATATAGGCACAAGGAGACTCCCCAAGGCTGGAAAAAGAATCTGCCTTGGACCAGTAAGCTAAACAATCTCCATAGCTCGTACTAGGCTAAGAAACTTGACTACTGAGCAGACTCATAAAGCACTTGGGAAGTGGAGAGAGCTCCAAAAGAGCTGGGCCTAAAACAAAGCCTTCGAGTAAAGGCTACTCCATGCTATGAAAAGCGCCTCAGATTCACATGTAGAGGCCTATGGGGCCGTGTATGTGTAACATGAACTTGTCTTCTGGCCATAACTAAGCTGCAGTCAAGAGACCTAATGTTAGTGCCAATCTAATTCTTACTCCAAAGAATTCCTAAGTGGGAATAACTGGTCCCCGGTACTCATGTATGCCAGAATTCTATAAAGGCGAAGCTGGAGAAAACAGAGAGTTAGGTGGCTTCAAGAGGAAAATGATAGAAATAAACAAAGAAAAATAACAGTGAGAAACAATAAGACCCCTAAGAGACACAAGTACACCTGGTCTTAAAACTCTGTTACAGCCCCTGACCCTCCTGCTCCCTAATGATAATTGTGTCCTTTGGGTCTGAGTGACTCTAGGTCTTTGAACCAAACAAACCAGAATAAAGCTTCACCTTCATAAAAAAATCCAAGTAAGAACAAAAAAGCTAACACACTAAAATCTTTTTGTCTTGCCACGACTTATTCAAACGTAGCTAATTCTAGTAATAATAAACCTAATTATGGCAAGCAAAACACCGAGAGCAGTTACTCAGAGTCTATGCTTTACTGCTGAATGTTTACCAGTCCCCTGAATCACTTGCTGTATCGAGAATTCTAATTGGTCTTAATAATTAAAAAAAAAAAAAAAAAACCCAAGTCAGATACAGGGGTTAATGCTAAAAGATCAGAGAAGCAGAGCAGCCAGCCACTAGTTCTTACGTCTACTAAATCCTCAGACCAAAGGGCAATCCTGTCTAAGAATCCTCAGACTGATGCAATGAGCTCCTGTCTCCTCCTGCCTTATATTCCTCTCTCCATCCAGCCGAATCACTCCTGTCTCCACCTCCCTAATGCTGGGATTAAAGGCGAGTGACTCCCAAGTACTGGGATAAAAGATGTGAGCCACAACCACCTAGTTGTGTTTCTCTTTTAGACTGGATCAATCTCACATAGCCCAGGGTGGCCCTGAACTCACAGAAATCCATCTGCCTCTGCCTCCTGAGTGCTGGGATTAAAGGCGTGGCCACCACTGCCTGGCCTCTATGACTAACTAGTGGCTTAGCTCTGCACTCTGATCTTCAGGCAAGCTTTCTTTGTTAGATCACAACCAAAATATCACAACTTCATGTATGCAGAAGTGCAGTAAAGAGACACATGAATGGTTTCAGGAGACACAGCTAGCACTCAAGATTCTTCCTCACAGTCTGAGTGTCAAGTGTCAGGTACTCAATTAGTATTGTTACCAAGCATTAGTGCTAGTGCTGAAAATGAACTAAGCTTCTACCAAAACCCCGAGCACATGTACTCACCTGCTGCTTGCTTGACTTCAGTTGAAATTTCAGTGGGGCTAGGAATTCCAAGAGAAGTCTCTGCCTTCTCTATGACATTTGAAATACCTTGTCCTGATGAGAAAAACAATGAACATTTGTGTGCTCTGTGCTGTTAAAAAAAACTGAATAGTCAATCAAACAAAAACCCAAACCTGCAATTCTTCTAAAACCATGGTCCCAAAACCACATTATTTTAATGATATATGTATTCTTGTCATTATCTCCTTACCAAAAAAAAAAAAAAAAAAACAAAAATCCCACTGACTTAATATCTCTAAAACATAGGCTTAAACTAATCCCTAAATTTCAACTTCCCAATAGAACATGAGCACCAGTGTACACAAAAAATAAGGGCCTAACCAAAGTCTTACCTACTGTGGCCACTGTAGCTGAGGCTGAGGAGAGCAGGGACTTGCCCCAGCTGCCCCAGTAACCCCATCCAGTCTGGGATGCATCTTTAGAAACAGTCTCCTATTTGTTCCAGTGAGAGAGAAAACAAGACAAAAGAAAACAGGAAATTAGAGGAGACTCAGACGAAGTATTAAGTCATCAGACAAGCACAGGTGGGCAAATCTGTGACCTAGGTAAATACTGCCTGACCGACAGGTGAATGCCAGCCATCAGCACATAAATACTCTGCAGAGAATGCAATTACTGATAAAGGTATTTCTAGAACTCAGGAACCTGTTACTCTATGACTGTAAAAAGAAGGAAATGTCACCATAAATTAGTACTGCTACCATATCTCTTTTAAGCTTTGCATTTTTAAATCCCAAAATTTTATCAGATTGTTACTTTGGCTACAGCCTGTGACACCTCAGCAGGAAGCTGGGAAGCCTCGAAGTCCCTGGAAGGATTGGTCTCTGGTCTTTTCCGAGTGGATGCTACAGGCTGAGGCTTATCCTCTGGCTTCTCGGCTGGCTCACAGTTCCCATCTTTAAGGATTGGGGTTGCTTCTGTTACCGTTGAGGTCTCTGTAGCATCCTTATCTGACATGACTAAAACATCACCTGCTAAAACAAAAGCTCAATGAGAATCTACTGACATTGACTTCTTTAGTACAAACTATCTACTTCTACTGACATTGACTTCTTTAGTATCAACTATCTGCTTAATGTTGAGACTTACAACTCATACACTAGTACAATAATACAAAGAGATCCGATATACCTTCACCCATTTCCCCCCAGTCATAAAATGACATTGTTACAATCCACCAGTGTCCTTCCAAGCTTACACCTTTTACATATACTCATATATGTGTACATAAGTTATATAAAATCTTACCACATACACACCTGTCCCTTGATATCTGCAGAGAACTGGCTGCAAGAACCCTGCAGACAACAAAATCTGCAGTGGTCACTTCCCTTCTATAAATGGACAGTATCTGCATATGACCAAGGCACATCCTCGAAGTTTCATCACCTCTACTTCATTTGTAATGTCTAACACCATATGTAATGCTATGTAAACTGTCTTAAGAACAGTAAGTCCATATAGGTTTAGCGCAGATAAAACTTTTCCAACTGTTTTCCACTTATGATTCATTGCATCTATGAATGCTGAGTCCCAGATACAGCAGGCCAACTATTTTCAAAGTTCACATACAGGATTTTATGTGAACATAAGCTTTGTCTCTGGAATAAATGACAACTACTTTATTAATAATATGATAAGTCTATGATTAGTTTTACATGAAACATGATTATAAAGTAAGACCATGCTTCATTTTACACATAACTGTCATCTTTTCCAGAACAGTACAAATGACCAAAAATGTCTGTATTCTGATCAGATGTTTTCCCCTAACGGAGACACTTACAGATATGTGGTGGTAGCTCACTGTGGCTTTTATGTTGCATTACCCCAGTGACTGGACACTAAGCATCTTTTCAGGTGCTTATTTGCCATCTGAATATTCTCTTCAGAGAAACATCTGGTAACATTTTTGGCATTTTTTTTAGTTAGGTTGCTTTGTCATTTTCTGTTGAGTTTCGAAGCACTTAATATCTAGGTTCAATATCATACTAGTCTAAAGCTTATTTTCATTGTCTTATTTTGTTTTGCCTTTTCAGACAGATCTCCCTCTTTGCCGGCCACTAGCTTATGGCAATCCTCCTGCCTCAAACGTCCAAGTGCTGGGACAGACATGAGGCACCACGCCTGGCTTTTTCATTATCTTCATAGGGTCTTCCACCAAGAATTTTTTGATAAAGCCCATTGTCAGTCTTTCCTTTTACTAGCTTGCCCTTCAAAATTTTTATCATGAATTTTTATCAGTTTGTTTTTTCAAAAAACTTTCAACCAAGTAACACTGTGTCAGATCAGCTTTCTATTTTTTAAGATTCTTTGTGAATATTTCAAATATGGTTTTGATAGTTAGACCATCTGATGTAACCAAAGCATAACTGAATTCCACTTTTTTATTTCATATATTCTGCTGTGCTTGGATCAAACCCAAGACTTCATACATGCTAAGTAAGAGCTCTATGCCCTAAAAACATTCACTGGCCCTCAGGTCAGCTTTGGAATAGCAATGTTACCCAATTTGATGCCTCCCTAAAGCACAGCTCTTTGGCAATTAAAGCCAACATATTACTGGTTCTTCCACTAAAAGAAATACTAGTTCCAAGAATAACCAGTTATCACCAAGGAACACACATATACAACACACACACCAAGTATGCTGACATACATTTTATTCAGGTATGTACTACGTTCGAGATAAATCTAACTCATCAAGCTATCATGCTTTTAATGCACTAAAAAAGAAATTAACAAGGCATATAGCACAAAAAGAAATGAGCAAGGAAGGATATGGCACAATAATTAAAGCATATACAAAAAAAAAAAAAAAACCACTTAGTGGTGCATTTAGTCTCAGCACTTGGGAGGCAGAGGCAGGCAGACCTCTGAGAGTTCAAGGCCAAACTGGTCCACATAGTGAGTTTCAGGACAGGCAGAGCTACATTGTGAGACCCTGTCTCAAACACACACACACACACACACACACACACACACACACACAGCACTAAACTTAAAGATCAGAGAAGACATTATAAGCAGAGAGTGATTGGTAGAGTGCACTTAAAATAAACCTAAAGCCATGGTCACAAACTGGATATTTGTTAGTTAATTATAGCCCACAGGTGTTTTTAATTGGCCTACACTGTTTAAACAGTTTTAATTAGTTACTACCATTTAAAGTTTCATCTTCCATAGGAAAAGAAATAGAAGTTTCCAATACCCCTTGTGAAAGTGAGAGACGGGGCAACGGGGGCCATCTGACCAGGCAATAACTAATTGGTACCAAATGGCTTTTGAGCCCTTTTGGATGAAGGGTATTCTCTCATTCTACTATCTCCAGATTTGTATTACTCATTTATAGCAATCTGACCAAACCCTGTATACATTTGTGTTCACAACACCCACCTTCAAGACACTTAAGATTTTAACGAATGAAAATGTCAATTAAAGGATGAATTCAAGGGTGTGATGGTCAATTTCAATTGCCAAACTGACAAGTTTTAGAACCACCAGAATCCACTGGGCACATCTATGGCGGTTATCTTGATGAGGTTAACAAATATGGAAAGACCACTACAATGGGAGGCACAATTTCATGGGCTGGGATTCTGAACTGTATAAACAGGAGAAAGAGGGCTGATCACAAGCATTCACTGCTTTCTGCTTCTTGACCATGGATGCAATATGACCAGCTTCCTATGTGGCCTTCCTGCCACTATGGCCAAGTGAACTGTGACTCAAGATAAGACCAGCCTTCCTTGTTTTTGTCTGGGTAGTTTGTCACAGTAACAGGAAAGTAACTAAAACAAAAGGTATGGAAACAACACAGGAGAAAGGTCAGTGATCCATGATATGGTCGGCTCCAGTAATGACTATATTAGGGAAAAAGCAAAGGGAGGCACGAGGCTAGAAAGGTGGATTAAAACAACACACTAATACCTAAACTTTGTGGGTACATGGCATGCATATATTTAATTCATGAAGAAAAATAATCCATACAAAAGTAACAACTGCCACATAAACCAACTAAGAATCTGTCATTCATGGCAAACATCTTTTGCATTCGCACTATGTGCCCAGCTCTGGAGACAGAGGAGAAATGTAAGGCAATTTCTGACCCATTCGGTCCAAAGGCTGATCTAATAAAAAGACACCAACATGCTTGGACAAAGTTCAGAAGGTATTCTTGGGCAGTATTAAAAAAAAAAAAATGTACCTTTTAAAACTACCTTTTTCTTTTTTCTCCAGGTTTCAACATATGGTAATAGTTCATAGATGTACTATATGTAAGCAAATACACATTGCAAAAACTCACTTAATATTATGAACCTAGAACATTCCAAATTAGCAAACTCTGTCCCTATTCTTTCACTTGCACAACAAAGATTTTAGTAAGCATCGAGGACGTGCCAGGGGTTTAGGCAGAGTCAGACGACAAGATTTTGTGTGCAGTGATGACCGACTCCACCGTCCCTGTAAACCAAACCAAACACATACCAGACATACGGAATTGGACTATTTTAATGTTTGCCGGGTACTCTGTGGTCAATGTGTTTTCCTGGCTGGAAGAGAAAGATCCAGATGACTGGACAAGTAGAACGCCTTGAGGCGCCTCACAGTCGAGACATAAACAAACACACTCGGTGCACACGCGTCCCCATCGCATTTCCCAGAGGGCTGGTGACTCCGACCCGCTGAGAGCACCGACCCCGGTCAGCGCAGCAGCCCATCCCCGCGACAAGGAGTCGGGGCAGCAGGCAGCAGCGGCTCCCGGGCTAGCGAGGCCAGTCTCCGGTCTCCGCACTTCCACCCGCAGGTCCCACCCCGAGGCCTGAGGTAAACAAGCTCCCCAGCCCCTTGAGCGAACGAAAACCCCAAACACATCAGGAAGCGCAGCAGCCCTTCAACCCGTGACCCCAGCAACCCCAACCCTCGCCGCCCTCACCAGGAAGCCCCGCAATCCAGACACCGCCCCTCACCGCGGCCACGGCCGCCCGCTCGCCACTCTGCCCGCTCGCCACTCCGACGGAAGTACTCCTGACCTCCGCACGGAGGTGGGGTCGCCTTCCAGCAGTGCTTCCGGGTCAAGCATCGGCTGGGGCGGAAGAAGCTGACTCCTGCACGGTGAGTGAATACTCTGCTCCGGTAGCTTCCAGAGAGATTGGGGTGCTTGGGCTGGGCTGGGCTGGGCGCGGAGGGTGAGGCGATGTCTGCCCTTCGGGAAGGCCTGGTGTGGGTGTGGGGGTTCCACCGTGAAGTATATACAGAATACTAGACCAGGCCTGCGCCCCCGCGGCTCGCACCGGGAAGCCACTCAAGACCCTGCTCCTGGGCACTGCTAAAGCGGTAGGGAAGGGAGACCACGAACAGGTCAAAACAGCGGTGTCTGAGATGATAGTCAAGTGCTTTATCGAAATTTAAATGAAGTGATGGAACAGGAACTGGGTAAGGAAGTGAAAGGGAGGAAGCCTTCTGCCTATCTGGAATAAGAGTAGAACTTTGCAAGAAGAGAGAATAAATAGCAAAGGGGGACCACACGGAAGGAGGGAGATGAGACCAGAGACCTGGGCACTGGGTCTTTGTCGGGTCAGTACCAAGAAGTTTGACAAAGTTTAATTTGGAACTTGGTGGGAAGTAATTAAAGGTTTCTAAGTAGGAGGTTGACGTGCTTTTGATTTATAATTTTAGGGTTGCTCTAATGCGCACTGAGTGTGTCGCTTCATTTGCCCCTGAGCAGTTTGAATGCACAAAATGGCAACAGACGTTTAATGCCAGGAAGGCATTAAACACAATTTGGTTTTTAAAAAAAAAAAAAATGGGAACACCTGAAGCCCAGGGAGGCAAAGACATGCTTTCAAGTGTGCAGATCTTGTGTGGTGTATAGCTCAGTGATAGTGTGTTTGCCTGTCGTGTGCAGTGTCCTGGGTTTGATCCCTATCACCTAAAAACAAACAAACAAACAAAGGATCCAGGCTTCCTCCTTCTAATCACTCCCTTATCTCAGTGTCCAGATGTAATTACCACTTTCTAAAACCTTTTAACTGTTTTTCCTTTATTTTTTATGATAATCTTTAAATTTTGGCATACTGATGTTACTTGGGACCTTACTAATTAATGTCTGTTCCTTTGAAGTAGGACTGCAAGTTAAGGCTAGCCTTGGCTAGCTACATTGTGAATTCTAGGCCAGCCAGAGCTAAATACTCACATCCTGTCTCGATCAAAAATGTCTGGTCAGCAAATAAACTAAAAGTATAAAATGAATTCCTTCTGGTTTTCTTTTGTAAAGGAAAATGTATAGACTAGGAGTGTATCTTGGTCAGCTACTGTCTCATCTTTTACACATTGCCATTATTAATATAGCAACAATTGTGGTAGTTTTGGTTTGGGAGTACATTGCATGTAAATTTACCAAGAATTTCAAAGGATTTTGTTTATAGAGATTACAACTACCAATAATTTCCATTTAAGAAATCAAAATCCAATGGGCAGTGGTGGTACATGCCTTTAATACCAGCACCTGGGAGGAAGAGGCTTGTGGGTCTCTGAGTTGGAGGCCAGCCTAGTCTACAAAATGAGTTCCAGAACAGCCAAGGCTACACAGAGAAACCCTATCTTTAAGACAAAAAAGAAAAGAAATAAAAATCACTCCCCAAAAATTTAGCTTAATTTAAAATAGTAAGTTCATTAAATGGTAATTGACATTTCTATAAAAAATATTTCTCCATTGGAAGTTCTGGCACATGTCTGTAATCCTAGCGCTTAGAAGATGGAAATACAGGCAGGAGTTCAAGTTTATCTTGGGGAGCAAATTTGAGGCCAGTCTGGACTACGTGAGACATTTTCTCGAAAACAACAAAAATACAATTTCTCTAATGCTTGGCTTCCTAGAATACAGCTAGGTTCTGGTTTCTCCTGTGTTCTCTGGAAGTATGCATATCCTTGTGTAACCTTTAGGAAAAAATTTGTCACATGTAAGCAGGGACATGAAACTATTTCAGGGACACCCAGTACTCCCTGTTCTACACATGGGAATTGCTGAATTACAGTATCATCATGACAGTTAACAGAAATGTAAGCTTAATTTGTAAATTAGTACAGCTATAACATACATCTGAGAGAGGCCAGAACTCAACATCTTTAGCAAGCACTACAGATAAATTGATATTTTCTCAAAGTTGAGCTTGCAAAGCCATTTATAGATTAAATTCTCTGGAGTGCCATTCCTAAAGAAAAAAAGCCAACAACAACAAAAGACTGTTTCCTTCTCTTCAGATCTCTTTATAAACAGTTTACAGAGCCTGAAAATGAAAACCCAGTTTGGAGTTTTTGATTGAACACCTTTCCTCTTCCCAGACTGGTGCTCATCTGAATTCCAGATGTTGTACCCTTCCCCAGAAAGTGGTGTCTGTTAAAGGCTGAGGTTCTTCTAAATAGAGGCAGCTGGAGGGAAACTGATGAGTCTTACTGACCTGACTAAGCAGAGAAACCCTGAAAACAGAGGGCAGGGGGAGAGTTGGGGTAAGTAGGTTTCCTGAATAACAGGAGATGAGAATTGCAAATAGAATCTTCATGGGAAGATGTAATTGGAGAAGGGAAATGATAAACAGAGCAACTAGAACCAGAACATTAAGTTGAAAATTACTTAGAGACAGTAAATAGAGAGTAAGACACAGATAATTGAAGCTTACAAGCTGGAAACATTGTATGATTTTAGTCAAAGAAAGGGATGGTGATGGAATCAGCCTCCAAATATGGAAAACTAAGAGCCCTAGGGCACACCTCAGCAAATGATAGAGGTGTGGCTAAAGATTGTGCCAAATTGTAAGCATGCCTACTTCAAGGAGTTTATGCATGTGGGCACTGCTGCCTACATTTTCAGCTCCTGGATAGTTACAGCTGCGTACTGAAGTTTTAAGCTTAGCTCTTGGCTAGTGAAATGTCCCCTAATAGATTTTGTCATTCTTTGAAAGACAGTATTTGGATATATCACAGGGAGTTGGGTTGGACTTGAGTGTGGTACCCAGATGGGATAAAAGGACTGTGATTTTGGTAGATACAGTTGACCTAACTGGAAACTAAAACATGTAATAATAACAACAGCATGTATTTATAATGTACCCTCATGCATGCTTCCAGACATTCCAAGATCATTACTGCTAATAGCCTCATTCAGTAGATGTGAAAACAAAGGCTTTTCCAGCCTGGGCTTCACCCAGAGCAAGGACTGAGTACTTGTACTCCAGAACCCATTCTACTAGCCTCTAAACTACATAATTCTGTCATTTTAGCATTACAAAACTGGAAAGATTATGTGAATACCCTCTAAGCTGTGTGGACAGGTGGGTCTAGAGTTACTATGAGGGGTTGTATCTACTGAGTTAAAGATACAGTGAGGTCTTTCTCAGATTCAGGCTACAGAGGGGAAAAAAATGGGATGGGAGAGGTCCTGAATCTAAGCCTGTTTCACAGATATCTTGCCATCCACTGGCAGTCACTGTATGGCAAAACGGATAAAAGTCAGAATGATGCTGGGATTTAAACAAAGCTCCAAAAAGGATGAATACAGAAGATACTTTTCATTGTGCCAGAAAATATGTTGACATTTGAGTTGAGATGCCCATGTCTGGAGATAGAGTGGTGGAATCCAGGATATGACTGGAAATATAGATTAGAAATGTTTAAGTAAATGGCCCTCAAAATGATGTCCTCTGTTCAAATAATAGTAACTTTAAATGATGTGTGTGTTTAGATAGATGATGGATGGATGGACGGACAGACAGACAGATGTTAGTGTCTGTGGCACCAGGACAGACGGATGGACAGACAAACACAGACAGACAGACAGATGTGTGTGTCTGTGGGACCAGGCAACATGTGTGCCATGGTACATGTGTGGAGGTCAGAGGACAACCCTGTCTACCTTTGTGTGGGTCCCAGGGTAGAACTCGGGTCTTCAGGCTTGCTCAACGGGTGGCTATACCCACTGGGCCATCTCCTTGGCCCCAGGACTTTGTAATGTCACAGATCTTCATGGCAACACTGGCAGTAAGCAGCACAACTGTGTTTGCTCTTTGCAGTGGATGGAGGATACACGCAAGCTGCTCTCCATTTGCTTTCCTCCTTTGCCAGCTCAGAATGCCACTTTGTCATCTGTGTGGCAGTTTGTAGGAGCGCCTCCACTTAGCACGTGTGACTGAAGGCAGAGCAGAGCGGATGAGCTGTAAATACAGCAGCAAGCAGTTAATTATGGAGAATAAGACATTAGTATCCTGCTGTAATTGGAGTGGAAAACATTGCCATCTGGGCTCCAGTGTTCCTCCCCCTTGACTTATCCCAGAGTGATTTCCGCAAAAGGCAGTTTCCTCAGCCAACTTAATACTGAGCCCCTGGAACGGAAGTCAACCACATTGCTTCCTTGTTTGCTTCTGTTGAGAATCGGAGCCGAATGGAAATATTTCTTCACTCAAAGTTGGCAGGAACAGCAACCAAGCAGTCTGCCATGGCAGTGAAGGCTGTTCTCTTCCTGACTTCCTGACAATTGAATAATAGTCAGTATTCATAATAGTTTTCTAGGGTAAAATTGTCCACATTTCTGCTTATTCCTGATCCCAACATTTCACCTGCTACACGAAGAATAACAGGCATGGTGTTGGAAGTGCCAAGTTTAAAAGTGGGCCGTGCCCCTGAGATTCATGACTCCCTCCTTTTTGTTGCTTTTACAGCACAGTTGCACTTCCTCCGGCACTGCTCATGCCGTCTTGTTTGTGTGTGGTTAGATGTTTTTACCCCCAGCTTCTAAATTAGTTTGTAAATTCCTGAGTGTATGTGTAGGACAGAGTCTGACTCACATGATCAGCACTTGAAGCATTGGCAACTTCACTCAGTATGTGATGGGTTCCTGATTAATTGATGTAAAGTCAGGCAGTGATTGAGCAGTGAGTGACAGTTGCCAACCTCCATCATCACTGCTGATGAAAAAAGAACGGTCACTTGATGAGGTTTTGGTTGCAGGTAGCAGAAACCACTAATGGTTGCTTGATGAGGTTTTGGTTGCAGGTAGCAGAAACCACCAAAGCTAACTTAAGATTTCAATATGAGGAATAAGCCATGAGTATCTGAAGCCTCACTCCTCTTCTGCAGTCACCTTGGACTTTGGCCACTGTTGTCTTCAACTGCTCCAACTGTTTCCCACCTGCAAGTGGGTCCTATTTCTTCATGGCTGACATCACAAGGCCTTCATGTTCAGGATGCCTGTGACTGCTCTGAAGTGTCTGGTGCTGACTGGACACTGGAGACCGTTGTCAGATATGATTTTTGGTTTTAATTTTGAATAAATCAAATAAAGATGTTTATTTCTTTAAGAAAAAAAAATAGTCATTGGTACCAGGCACTTGAATTCTGCAGGAGCCAAAGCAGCATATATGAGCCTCTTTCTCCACCTTCTGCTCCATCTTCTCATGGCTTTCTCTTCTCATAACTCTTGTCCTGTCCCTCAGCTTTCCATTGTAGGTAGGCTGAACCAAACTGTCTCAACCCCCTGAATACCTGTTCCTCCCAAATGGACTTAAATATCTCCATCCTAAATCCCAAGAACAAAGGTTTCAATTAGCTTACTTAACTACAGAGATGAACCAAACAGAGGTGGGGCTTAAAAAGGGACGCATAGGATACAGGATGAGTGGATCTTAAGGAAGCTTGTATGCCACAAATACAGGGCACAGGTAACATAACATATAGTGCCCCTTATGACTCATGTTATTACAAAATACTGATTTGTGGTGAGACCATAAGAAAAGTGATGTTTTGGATTGAAAGTTAAGATTTCAATTGTGCCTCCCCACCCCAGATTATTATATAGTTGTGTGGTATTCTGAGTAAAAGTGCTTAATGGTGTAACTGTCAGAACCATCTACATGTAAGCACATCCAAAGAACCATCAACAGAAACAACTAGAGTGCACTTAGTGAGTGTTGTTGTCAGACTGTGTTTTATATGAATTACCTCTAGTTGCCACTCCTGTAAGAATAGGTACTGTTGTTTTTCCTACTTTAAAGATGAGGGGACAAGACCCAGACTTTAAATCCTTTGTAAAACTACAGGGCTGGTTAGAATCCAGGCCTGAATATTTGTCCAGGAAACCAGGCTCAAGTCTGCACTCTGCACCTCTGCCACCCTGATTTTATCAGATTGCAGGCATTCAGTTGCACCAGTGCAGAGAAGGCCAGAGACAGGATGGAAAATGACAGCTCAGCTCTGTGGAAGGAAGTGTTTGGCAGTCTAGAGCACTGTTAGCAAGGCTAGCAGAGAGGAGAGGAGCTGTTGGTGCTGCATGACGTCAGTTCAGGGACCCTTGCCTCAGAATTACCCAGGATGCTAATCTAAGGCCAAATCAGATCCTTTTTTGGTTTCTCGAGACAGGTTTTCTCAGTGTACAACTCTGGCTGTCCTGGAACTAACTCTGTAGATCAGTATGCCCTCAAACTCAACAGATTTCCACCTGCCTCTACCTCCCAGATGTTGGGATTAAAGGCATATGCCACCACCACCCGGCCAGCTCTGTATTTTTAACAGCTCTCCAGGTGATGATAATACTTAGATGAGTTTGAATTCCTGAATTAGGTGATTTTTTTTTTAACTCCCACATTTTTCCTTAGGTACCAGGTAATGAAGAAGTTGCAAGTCCCTTTGAAAAAATGCATGTACACTTGAAAATAAAAACAAAAATGCAGTGTTACTCTAGAGGTACTGCCACCTGGATCAAGCTCAGAAATGAACACCCACCGTGTTTATAGGGAAAACAAAATCCAAACCAAGAAGCTCTTCACAGATCTAGTCTGTACCAGTTCTGCTTTACCTCCTTCCTCTCTACCTTTACCAGCACTGAGTTTCAGTATGGAGACCCACATTCTCATCTAGTCACGTTTCTACTGAGCACATACTCGGTGCCAACCTGTCAAAAGACATACATTATACTAGATGCTACCCAAGGGGTAGATGTGGGAGGACTCAGAGCATGGAACTATGCTCACTGCAGAAGGCCTCCCCAAGAGTGTAAACAATGCAGTAGATCTGAGGGATGGACAGTTAAGAATGGGACTTCTTCTCAGTTAGCCAGGGCACAAGAGCAGAGGGGTTACTGGTCAAGAGGTTTACAGGAAAGAACCACAAGCTGTAATGACAGGTACATCTCATGGCCAAACTCAGGAACCCAGATTCTGCTGGGTCCTGATTCTGGAAGCAAAGAGACTGGGTTGGATTCTTGGTTCTGACATGAAATCAGGGATAACCTTGGGGATTGTAATGACTGGGGTAAGTAAGGGAGATACTGTCCAAAGTCAAGAATCCACAATGTCAAAGAATGGAGTAGTCAAGAGGCATGGCTCACTTGTGGAATAGGCATTGCTGCAGGATCAAGACAGTGAGAAGAACACAGCATGGGAACAGACCTTCCTCTGACACACAAGGACTGGCAGCAGTCCTCACACCACAAGGCTACAAAGATAGTAGGTATCCATTGCTGAGCCTGAAGCAGGTGGCAGTAACTCTGGAGTGAGTCATTTTTACATTCAACCATGTAGGTGATTTTATACACAGAATCGATACACAATTTCCCTTTAAAATAAATACACAAGAAGAAAATGAGTGGATTTAAAGGTTTTGCTCTAGTCAATAATAAAAAGTATGGCAGTGGAGTGAATGATATTTCCAAGATAATTCAGATGAACCTGGGAACTCCTTGTCAATGTCCATAGAACAGCTAGTATAGAAGGAGGCAAAGTCATGTCTGTCAGATATTGCTCATCTTCAGTCACCAAGAGCACAGAGCCTGGCTCCTGGTCCCCATCAGTAAGTGTTTGTGCCTATCACCTCAGTTATTAGATCAGACCCTCCCATTGACTTCTCGCATAATCCTAACAAGTCATCACTGTGAAGTCTGTAAATTAAGCTAAATCATTTGTTAAGTACCCAAGGCTGTTTTCCTTCAGTGTCATTTTAGCAGGTTTTTAGGAGGAAATGGAAGTAGACACATTTAATCTATCCTGTAGAGCCAAAGTCTGAAGTTTGTTTTATCCTAAACATTCTATCCTTAAATTTTAAAGTTTGAGATTTTTTTTTATTGTCATTATTCATCCAACCCTTCAAGAGCTTAATGGAAAGTTAAATAACATTTTAAAACTTGTAATTCAAACTTTGAGGGTATAATGACAAAATACAATGATCCATTGGTTTTTATGTTCTGTGACCAAGCAGACTTCCTTTGAATATAAAAGTAGATAAATGTTGTCTCCAAAGCTAATTACCTTGGACTTTGACAAGAAATAAAGCAGAGTCTTGCCACATATTTATAGAAGTATAAATTGACATCTTCCTTGCAAGCTGGTGGTTTTAAGTGAGGAAACAAATTAGCAAGAAGAAAATAATAAACACCTGGACTCAGCCAGGCAGTGGTGGCACACACCTTTAGTCCCAGCACTTGGAAAGCAGAGGCAGACAGATCTCTGTAAGTTCGAGCCCAGTGTGGTCTACAAAGCTACACAGAGAAACCCTGTTTAAAAAAACAAAACCTGGACTCAACCTAGACTTGGGTTTTGCTTTTTAGTAATAGTTTATTCTTCTTCCTAATCTAATAGTCTTTCCTTGTAGTTGTATATTGTTTCTGCCAACTATATATATCCTTAGAATGTCAATTTTGTTAGACTTCAGTCTCAAAATTTGTTAAGTGTACATATCATTAAATATCCTCTTTGTAAAGAAGATGCTTTTTTTTTATAGCATTCTGAGAAGATGTTTAGAGTCCAGAAGTTTGCCTGTTCATATGTCATGTAGGTCACACAGATTTTTTTGTTTTGTTTTTTCCTAAAAGAAACCAGACTCTACCTCAAATGTCCCTGAATTATTTGTTTAATCTGCATACATAGTCAGATTACATGGATTCTGATCTCCATGGTAATGAATAAGACATATCAGTTGCTTTTTACATACTGATATAGCATATGGTAGTGGTGCAGGTTGAAATAAAAGATTGTTAAACTGTATTTCCACTCTTATTGACTCCCTATTGCACAGAAATTGTCCAAGTGAAATGGCATCTCAGCATTTAGAATCAGCATCCTTAAAGAGCCTCTCATCCTTCCCTTCAGTGAGCAGGTGAGAAAGTGGAAGCTCAGAGAAAGCTGTGTGCCAAGGCGGGGCCACTAGCAGCAAGGTTTGACTGGACTCGGTCTGCTGGTGCTGTGCTCAGCACTGCTCCATCTCGGATGTGGTGCAATCATCCCTGATGTCAGTCAGCGCCATTACTTAATCAGTTTCATTTGCCCCATGATGAATCTCAGTTAAACACTGTGTGGCTTTCTTTTAGGCTGGCCTCCACGCTCATCCTTTTAATTAAGAAATCCTCAATCCAGACCACTTCTTCGGAAAACTTTTCTGCCAGCAGCAAGTTATTCACTGTGATCCTGTTCAGCATAGCCACATTTGAGTTTTCCAAGTCTAAAGAAGACTGGTTTTGGTTTTCCCATGAAGCTGCATCATTGTCTGTCCATCTTACTTGTGGTTACTCTTCTGCCAGCTGCTCTGGTTTTGGAAGATGTGGCCCCACTGGGAGCGAATCAGAGTTCCTACAATGCATCATTTCTCCCGAGCTTTGAACTCTCAGCAGGTTCCTACTCTGGTGATGATGTCATCATAGCCAAAGAGGGAACAAATGTTTCCCTGGAGTGTCTTCTCACAATGGATCAGTATGGAGATGTCTACTGGTACAACTCAAAAGGACGGCGGCTACACAGCAGAGGTAATCCTATAAGGTGTGGTCAGCCAGATGACTTTGGTTTTGGGGGTTATGGCATACTGAGCAAGAATTCTCCAAGATGGGCTGGCTTCAAAGGAAGTTAGAGAAACAGTTCAGTTGTTGAGCACTTTCCAAGAATGCACACAGCCCTGGGTTTGATCCTTCTGGGGGTAGGGAGTAATGTCTGAAATATACCTATCAAAAAGAACAAAATAATTATAATTATTTAACAAAAAAGGATAGTATAAATACGTAAGCTGTTTTCCTTCTACCTTGTTATTGATGTTGTTGTTGTTGTTGTTCATGGCAAAGTATTGTAGTTCAGGTTCACCAGGAACTCTGTAGCCGAGAATGAATTTGAACTCCAGATCATCCTGCCTCCAACTCCAACATGCTGGATTATTGGCATGTCCCACCATGCCCAACTTCAATTTTTTTCCTAATTTAACCTTAATTTGCTTGAAAACAAAGTTTCTCTTTTAATCTTTATTTCTGTTGTAAGAGTCACACAGTGATGGGTCATCAAGATAGCTCAGTAAGTAAAGGCACTTGCCATCAAGCCTATCAACTTTGTACCTACATCATAGAGATAGCAAACCAACTTCCACAAATTGTCTTCTGATGTCCACACATACACTGGTATGTGGACACATACATACATAGACACACACACACACACACTTATACATACATACATACTTTATATATATATATATAATTTTTAAAGGATTGTACACTGATAATCTAGTCAAGGTTTACTTTTTATTGGGTATTTATTTTATCTTTCTTTGTGTAGATTTGTTTGATGCATATCTTAATCTAGAATAATTCTTTCACTAGTATTCTGTTGGATCTTTGAGGAACTGAAAAGGTACCTCAGTAGTTAAAAGCACTGGCTGCCCTTGCAGAGGACTCAGCATCCATTTGGCAGCACATAACTGTCTGTAACTCCAGTTTCAGGGGACTAGGTACCCTTTTCTGGCCTCTATAGTCATGATGCACACATGTGATGCATAGGCATATATGAAGGCAAAACATGTATATACATAAAATAAAAATAAATCTTTAAAACAACAACAATGGAAAAAAAAAAGATCAAACCAAGTAGTAGTCTTGCTTAATCACAGCATTCAGGAGGCAGAGCCAGTCAGTTCCTTTGAGTTCAAGGCCAGTCTGGTCTACAAAGTGAGTCCCAGTACAGCCAAGACTACACAAAGAAACCCTGTCTCAAAAAAGAAAGAGAAAAAGAAAGATCTTTGTGATAAATACTTGAGTTACAAAGTACCTCAAAAAGAAGTTACCATGAAAGCCAAAATGAAGTCATCCCAGAATCCCCCATAAGCTAAACTTCAGGAAATGCTCTTAAACATAGAAGGCATTCCTTCTTAAACTAAGTTAAAGCAGAAGAGATAGGTGCTCTTTCTTTCTCAAATACCTATTTGCTAAGTCATGGAGCATGTCTCAGTGCTAAGTTCTCTCCTAGCAAATCCAGGTTGGCTCTCCAGCACCACACACTGAAAAGTATAGTTGCTGTAGTAAAATACCCTGACAAAAGGCGCTTGGGAAGAAAGGGTTTGTTATAGGTCACAGTTCCAGGTTACAGTCTGCCGTTCAGGGGAGCCGGTGGCAGTAGCTCAGAACAGCTGATTGTATTGCATCCATATTCAAGAAGCAGAGAGCCGTGAAAGCATGTTGCTGTTCAGCTCAACTGCTACAGGTTATCAGGCTGACTGAGGAGTGCCTTTACCCACTGAAGTATCTCCAGCGTTTTCAAAATACATTATCATATGAGTTCATGATGAAAAGTAAGCAGCATTTCAATAAAGATTAAAGTGCATAGCCCATCACCCCATAAATAAGCACCCTCTATACTTCTGAGGCATGTCCATCTCATGTATGAAAATGTACAGGTAATAGCATGGTGTAGTGTCACGCGCATGGATGAGCATGTCTTTGAAAGATTGGTCTTTTGCGTCTATGTGGATGTTTGGTGTCTGGCTATGAGAAGGAAATGCTAGCCTTAGAGTGGTCAGGAAGATCAATTTTCATTATTTGTTTTATACTGATAGAATCCTAGTCAGACATAGCAGTCTGCTTTTCTTTCTTCCTCCCTTCCTTTCTGTTTTGTTTTTTTGTTTGTTTGTTTGTTTTGGTTTTTTTGGTTTTTTTTTTTTTTTTTTTTTTTGCATGATTGAAACAGTAGAGCCTGACAGACCAGCTACAATGGTTTTATGAAAAGGTAAATATTGGCAAGGCAGATGATCTTTTCTGTAATTTTTTTTTTTTGTCTCTGTTGAATTTATTAGGTGGAAAATGGTTGGTTTCTGATAACTTCCTAAATATCACCAATGTAGCCTTTGATGACCGTGGGCTCTATACATGTATTGTCAACTCTCCAACTCGTGCCTCCTACTCAGTCACCCTCCGTGTGATCTTCACCTCTGGAGACATGAGTGTCTACTATATGGTTGTCTGCCTGATCGCCTTCACAATCACACTCATACTGAATGTCACTCGTCTATGCCTGATGAGCACCCATCTCCGAAAGACCGAGAAGGCCATCAATGAGTTCTTCAGGACTGAGGGGGCAGAAAAGCTCCAGAAGGCCTTTGAGATAGCAAAGCGCATCCCCATCATCACCTCAGCCAAAACCCTGGAGCTTGCCAAGGTCACCCAGTTTAAGACCATGGAGTTTGCCCGCTACATTGAAGAACTGGCCAGAAGTATTCCTCTCCCACCCCTTATTCTGAACTGCCGGGCCTTTGTTGAGGAAATGTTTGAGGCTGTGCGAGTGGATGACCCTGATGACATGGGAGAGAGAATTAAGGAGAGACCTGCCTTGGATGCTCAAGGTAGCATCTATGTGATTAAGCCAGAGCTGGGACGCAGTAACTCTCCTGGTGGAGATTCGGATGATGGCTCTCTAAGTGAGCAAGGCCAGGAGATAGCAGTGCAGGTGTCTGTCCACCTTCAGTCAGAGACCAAAAGTATTGGGACAGATTCTCAAGATAGCAGTCACTTCAGCACACCTGATGACCCTGCACCTGCTGAGGGCAGCACTCACCACAGAGAATGAGCCTGTGACAACTGACAGCCTGCCCAGTGCTCAGGAAAAGAGCCTGCTACGAGGACATAGCATTATTACAAGATGGCAAGGGTCTTCTGTTTAACCTTAAGCACCCCAGACCATGAATTGCCAAAGTCCTTGTGACAAGACATTTTTCTGATATGTGGTCATTTACTTTAAGGTTGCTGGAGTGATGTGTGCTAAGATTGAAAAGCACCTGAGCTGTGAGACTTCTTTTCTGGTCACAGTTTTTCTTTGGTCCATGTGTGACACATTGAAGCCCCCATTTCCCTGTCCATGAAATGCGGGATCTATTCTAAATGAGTTGTGTCTGGCCCAGCACTTCTTGCCTGTCGCACCTCTGAGTCAGCCTTTCAGTAGACCTTTGGTCCCTCTTTTGAGACTTTATTCTGCACTCTGGGTGTCTATACCAGTGCCATATGGGGAGATGCTCTGCCCTGGAAAGTGAACAGTCATGCATCCTGGGCCAGGCACATCTTTTCATTGAGCCACCCTGTGCTACACAGATCCAGAGAGTAAATTGCCCTTAGAAAACCACTCTCATTGGGTGTGGTAGCTGAAGCCTTTAATCCCAGCACATGGGTAGGCAGAAACAAACAAATACCTGAGTTCAAGGCCAGCCCCACCTATGGAACAAGTTCCAGAACAGCTAGGCTACACAGAAAAACCCTGTCTCAAAAAATTGAAGAGAAAAAAGAAGAGGAAGAAAAGAAAAATAAAACAGTCTCCATGAGAAATGTATCCTTGGGAATGCATCCTGTCTTTTTAGCTGCCAAGACCTTTAGTCCAGCAAGGCTGGCCTCAGTGTCCCCAAAGAAGAATGTTTTCAGTGTTTTGTGAACAAGAATGATGTCAACTCCTCTCTTTCAAATCAATTTTGATACTTTTTAATAATGTCTCAGGCTTCTCTTCTTGAAAGCACTGAATTCCCAGGTGGGCTGTGTTTGGGTCCAGAACTGCAGAATCCACTTTAGAACAAGCCCAGCAACATCCTGCCCTCTGTGGTCCTCAACCTGGTGCTAAAGGTGATAAACCTCCTCTTGTTGAGACTCATCATTACTGGTGGTTTTGTTCTTCAGATGTATCCTTTTTAAGTGAGGATTGCATTCACAGCCTTTCTGAAGCACTTACCTGAAATCAGATGAGATCATTGTGTTCAGTGAATTATTGTATTAAAACAGACAATCCAGGTATAAGGGGGGAAATGGCAGGTAGTGCCACCTAGATCATCTGGGTACCGTATGCACTGAAGCTGCCACTCCCCGCCTAGCCTAGAGTGATATGACAGATTATAAATAATCTTCACAGTCATCTCCTCAGCTGCAGGAAGCTCCTGTAGATTTTTAACATCATGGCCATGGAGCTCAATTTGATGCTTTGCTTCATTTGGCTTCTGGAAGCCAAATTGTGGAAGCATTGCTTGAACTAGAAAGTCCTGAGGGAACTGTGCAGAGGAGGTGTTCATCGGAATTTAATTAGAAGGGTCAAACAAGCAGGGGACAACAGGAAATTCCTAGTGTAACCAGTGAACTCCCTGCCTGCCTTTGTCCAGGCTTATCAGACATGACACCTCTGCTTTGGACAGCATGAATGAATCAGTGTGCCATTTTATCAGGTGGCATAAGGATAATATGGTAATGCTGCCTTTTCTATCTCTCAGGCTGTTTCCATGGAAACCTCCAGAGCCAAACAAAAGCTACCAATCATTTAACCAAAAAGCTTGCCTTGGCTCAGATGTGTATTTCTTTAAGGAAAGCTGTTTTCGTACATTCGGCTGTAGAACAAGGGCTCTTGAACATATCCTAAATTATAGAACATGTTTTCCCTCCTTACACTGGATCTCTGGATATACTAAAATTAAGAATCTCTTCTGTGGGGTCAGTGTCCTGATTGTCCCTCAGATCTGCAGTCCCTCACCTGATAAAGCAATGTTGGGGTCACTTCTTACAATGAAATTTGTTGCCTTAAATACTGGTTTTACACCACATGTTCCTAGAAGGGACATTAATGTCTTGAACTTTAAGGTAGACACATTTAACGACCAGAGTTTCAGAAAATAGTATTTTGCAAAATTAGAAAATACCAAAACAGTTGGCCTGCTCCAATGCAGCCTGGGTCATTCATCACAAAAACATAAGACAGGCACTGGGTGTGGTGGAGCACACCGGTACTCCCAGCACCTGGGAAGCAGGGTCAGGAGGACTGTAATTTCTAAGCCAGCCTGAGCTATCTAGCAAGACCCAGCCTCCGTAAACTAACCACTGGGCATGCAGTTGGGGATGAGGTCAGTTTTCCTGCATGCACTAAGCCTGGGTATGAGCCCTCCACCAGTGGTCTCCTATCTGGAGGCCAAAGCAGCCACCCTGCTTTGAACCTTCTGAGTTCCATCACCAAGAGCAGGTCAAACTCGGGAGGAGGAGCAGACTTGCAAAACTTGTTTTCAAGTGCAGAGCACAGTTGTCAATACGGTCTGTGTCTAATCTGCTTATCTGTTCGTAAACCTTCACCTAGGCTATTGTTACCATCTGGTGTCATTATCTTTCTGTCTTGCTGAATTTTATGTTAGGTTTTTTTTTAATGCCTTTGAGCAGAAAAATGTGTCTAAAATAGTTCTGTCGTCATATTGTAAATTTTGTATTGTCATTTAATGAACTTCAGTGTCCTTACAGAATTAAACAGTGGTTTATAAATCTACCAAAAGTTGTGATTTCAGCATCTTCATGTACTCCTTCCACACATGCTCCTTGATATCCTGATGTGTTTATAGTGGTTTGGTAGCCCCAGTCCTCAAAGTTGTGTCTATTATGGTTTAATTTTTTCTTTTTTTAAAGCAGATCTTGCCATATTGTCCAACATGACTTCAATTTTGTGATCCTCCAGTCTCAGCTTCCTGAATACTAGGATTATAGCATGATTACCGTGCTGGCCTTCATCTGCCTTTGTCTCAGACTATAGCCTAGACTGGCCTTGAACTTGAAGCAGTCTTCTTGCTTCTGCCTCCCAAACTCTGGGGTTACAAGTAAGTGCCACTGTGCCTGACTTTCAGGCTTGGTTCTTGAGTCAGGCCCAGTGAGCTTGTCTGTTTCCTGTGCACTACACATTGATACAGACCTTATCAGAACTGCTGACCGTGGGACAATTGTGAGAAAGAGCCCCTTCTGCTACTTCATCTCCCTTCCACAAGCTTAAGGTCAAATCCCCATCCAAGTGCCACTTCCTCTTCAGTTCCCGAACCTCAGGAGCCCTTGGGCCAGTGCTTTCTATACCCTGCATATGGTTTCACCCTATGGCAGAATTAAGCTGGGTCCCTGACTGTTCAGCTCAGCACAGTCCTGGCCTCATCCCCACACCAGAGATTGTAACTCTAGTGCGTACTATTTCCAGAGCCACATGCTTCTCATCTGGGCAGGATAGTGACAACACTCAGCCTCGTGAAAATTTCTGGGTGCTTATGGATTTGTCTCACAAAAGGAAATGAGTGTTATTTGATAGTACTTGTGTTGCAGCCGCTATTTTAATAAAAACTTGAATTAAAAAGTCAGAGTGGAATGTTGTACATCGAATGGAGTGTTTACCTGAGTACACAGAATAGGTTTTTTCTCATATATGATCCAGTTTGGTCTCTTTACAGACTTATTTTATGTGTAGAAGTGTTTGCTTGCATGTATGTCTGCATCACAGGTATGCCTGGTACCTGAGGAGTTCAGAAGAAAATGTTAAATCCCATGGAACTGGAGCTGTGGGTTGGAAGCCACCATGAAGATGGTTGGCAACTAAACCCAAGTCCCTATAAGAGCAGCAAGCGCCCTAGCCCTAACCTGCTCAGCCATCTCTCCAGCCCTGAAGTTTGATCTTGATGATTGTAAACGAGTGTATTTGAATGCAGTGCGATTGTTTCAATACAACATCCTTCTCCTAATCTGTGTAGTGCCATGAGCCACACTTTGGTGGGTACCCTCCCCACAGCAAGCCAGCAGGTAACTGTCACTCTGGACCCAAACAGCACAGCTTCCCAATTCTGAAGTGAAACTCTCCATGACTAGATAGCAGATCCCACTAAGGCCTGTGTTCCTGGTGTCTCATGTTCATGAGCTTCAGCAACTGGAAGCATTGGCTCTGGGAGAAGTGTGGTGGTGGCACTAGTGACAGAACCCAGCAGAGAAAGGAGAGGGGCGGAACATACAGTCATTACTTAAGTTCCACAGGCTCTATGGAGTAAAGATCGAGCCCTGACTTTCAGTGACAAAAAACACAATCCTGATGCCACCACTGGCTTTTGAAGTCCAAGGTGGATGTATGGAATTTGATGTTAATTGTCTTAAAGAGGAGTAAATTTAAATTCAAAATGGAATTCCACCACACACTTCAGCATGTATTCACTGGGCTAAGTGTTGAATTGATGACACCTAATTGGTGGTAGAATCCACATGAGGATTCGTGGGAGGAAACATGGTTTGCTGAGTGCAAAGGCTGCATCAGACTGTTAGCAATGTCCAAATGATATGCATGACAGCCACAAGTTCCTCATACCGCTCATAATTATGTCTGGCTGTGTGCTGAGGCAATCTGAGGATGGTGGCCCACCAAGAGCAGACTGTTTCTCAAATAATTCCAGCACAGGTAGTCCAAGGATGGCACAAGGGCTCAGGAGTGCTATTGAGGACTTGGCTCCTAGACATCTCTCTATTCATGTATGTGGCTTTCATTCTCATGGTCACAAGATGTCATGGTTGGGTTCTAGAAGGAGCTCCTGAGACATTTTTTTTTAAGCAATTTATTTTGGAGATGATTGTAGAAATGCAGGGAAGTGAGATGGGAAGGAGAAGAAAGCCAATACAAGAACATTCCAGAGTGGGTTATTGCTATGAGTACCTTATGCTCAGTCTTCCTGGCAACCATTCACATCTGGAGTTGCCTGGCCCAAGGCCAGCAAGCTTGGATATTTGCCCACCAAAAAATCTGTTATTACTTACAAGCTGTTCTCAGGGTCTCTAGCATCCTTTAACAGATGAATGCTCTGGGTGGAGACTCAAGGCTTTCAGTTGGAAGTCTGTGGTGATTGAAGAGATAGTGAGTGGCAGGAATTTATAGGCAGGGTGCCAATAGCACCTGCTAATAGGACAATCCTGCTTCCAGTGTGGCTCTGCATTCAGGGCAAAGAGAAGAGCAGGCAGTCCAAGGGCAAAAGACAGCAACTGAGTATTCTCCTTTTTTATCAAGAAAGCAATAGACTTCCTGAAGCTTTATCCATGTGCTACCCAGCAACATCCAGGACTGGGTTAGAGTGTGTCACCTACCTTGTTGCTGAGATCAAGTACCTGGCAAAAGCAACCTAAGGGAGGAAGGGTTGTTTGGGCCCTTGTTGTGAGGGTACAGTCCATGGCAGGAAAGTGTGGAGCTTGCTTACCTGAGCAGATCATGGAAGCAGAGATAGAGATGGTAGTTCCAAGCTAGCTTTCTCCATTTCCCTTTTATCCCATCCAAGTACCCAGCCTATGAGATGCTGCCACCCACATCCAGGCTGAGTCTAAGTGAGGATCAGTTAATCCTCTCTGGAAACACCATTACAGAGGTCTGCTTCACCAATCTGGGTGATTCTAAATCCAGCAGACAAGGTAAATGGCCACAAATGGTTACCACTGCAGTCATAAGTCTGAGATGAGGGCCAGCAGGATGGCTCAGTGCATAAAACCTTTCGTTCAAACAGGTGAAATTGCTTGCTACCAAGCAGAGCCTGAGTTCAAACATCAGAACCCACATGGGAGGAGAGAAATGACTCCCACATTGTGTCCTCCAACCTCCACATGTGTGTGTGTGCGCGAGTGTGTGCACACAATAAATAAATGGGAAAATCAAGCCTGAGATTAGTGTATTTTTGGCTGAGTACATTACCCAAAGCCTGACTCACTTCTTAGGGATAGAAGAATGAAATCTATAAGCCACAGGTAGTGTGCAGCAAGGTCACCTTCTCATCAATAAAACGTGGAGTGGTGACTAAGTTCCCTCACCATGCCTCCTGAAGGTAAGCATGAAGGCACAGCAAGGGGCTCTGATTGAGAAGAAACAGACCTTTGAGTCATGAGGAGATAGGGCCATGAATTCAAGCTCTTCTAGGCTGTTTCCAGAAGAGATGCTAAAAACAGCTGATCCAGAAAAGGAGGCTTACATATTTCTAGAAGGGGTGGGTGTTATTAGTTTTGGTTTTCCTGAAGTCCTCTGCAACTTAAAGACACTTCCACTGATTTTCTGTATAGAATGAAACTCCATCTGAGCCCCTTAAATTCCAGCCACGTTCTTGAGTTTTCATGTTTTCACTGGAACTATCGATCAGGCAATGTATATATATAAATACATGTCACCCCCCATATGCTGGAGAACATGTGGTGTTGCTGGCTGCTTATTATTTCTGACAGTTAGGCACAATGCTTTGCTTCCAGCTCAGCCCTTCCAGAAGGAGCACTCAAGTGTCCTAAGTACCAATGAATCAGCTTTTCAGGGGTCCCTAAGAGAATGGAAATGCCTGAAGAATTCCCTGCGTGATTGGTTTCTGTGTAAAATTCATTGCTCTTTTGGAGACCTCAAGCAAACCATTCCCAAGGCTCCTCTGCCCCGACATCTGGAACATCTAGGGCTATACTTGTGGCCTTTCAAATGTCTTGAGTGCAGTGTTCAAGGATCCTGAGACAGAATGTTGGAGATGAGCTTACTGTAACGGTAACTAAGGCTATGAATGGACAGTCAACAACATGTCAGGGACTCTGAGATTTCAGGCCTCAGTGCTACAGACAGAAAGTATGGCAGGGATCCTGAAGAGGAATCAGGCCCACATGGCAGAGTTGGGGTCCCTTCTTGTAGGTCCCGGAGGAAGGAGGAGCTTTCTGCATAAGCCTGCAGCCAGGCTTCCTGATTCCCCAGTAGGTGGCAGGGGAAGGAGCAGGGAAGAGAAAGTGTGGGGCACCAGTAGCTGCACTGGCTCTTTGCTACATCTGAGCCTGCAAACTTCCTTCCCCAAGTGAGGAATGCAGGCACTTGGAGATCTGTTAGCTAGAGGGTCTCAATAGGGGGCCTGTAT